AGCGCAGACCTCTTTGAGCAGTTTGGAGCAAAACATTTTCCCTTGGTCAGTCAATAACTTTTCGGGCGCACCCTTGTCCATGACATAACCATTTACGAATGCGTCCGTAATAACCTGTGCAGATTGGTTGGGGAGAGGCCAGGCCACAGGCCACTGTGTGAGGTACTCAACCCCAACCAATAAGTATCTATTTCCCCGGGTAGTAGTTGGGAATGGCCCCAGCACGTCAAGTGCGAACAACTCATTAACGCGAGACACTTTGATGGACTGTAGGGGCGGCCGACAAGGTGTAGTGGGATGATTCCTTCGTGCACACTGGACACAGCTCCTGAGTATGTTGCCACGTCATCAGCCATACCTGGCCAGAAAAAAAGTCTGCTTGAATGGTGTCCAGCGTCTTGTGTACTCCCAGGTGAGCCAATTGCTCATGAACGACACGCACCAGTTTACCTCACAGAATTCTGGGGACGACGATCACCTGCTTGTTTAGAGTGTCGTCCCAGAAAAATAGGAGCCCGTTCTGCATAACTGTTCTGGCTGAACGACCCAATTCTGCAACCCCTTGGGAGTTCACAGCACGCCGGCGCAGTCTAAGCAGCGACGTGTCCTCCATCTGGAGACGCCCCCACTCGGCGATGTCCAGGTTGAGCACAGAGTCGCATGGCTTAGTACCCTCATCCTCCTGTTGCATGGGCGTTTGCGCTCCCGCCGCAGCTGCCATTGGTGTGGTCGACTGGCAAGAGGGCTGCTTGAAGCGACCTGAGCCGGATAGGCAAGTGCAGGGCGAGTGCTGTGGTAACCGCGACAAAGCATCAGCATTCGAGTGCTGGGTCCCTTTCCTGTATTCCACGCTAAACGTGAAATCCTGAAGTATCTCCAACCATCTGGACAATTGGCCAGATGGTTGGTCCACTCGCAAGGCGTACTGTAACACCGCGTGATCCGATCGGACCCGAAATTCACTGCCATACAGGTAAGGTCGATACTCACGAACAAAGTGAACAATCGCAAGCAGTTCGCGGCGCATGACGCAGTAGCGTTGTTCTGTCGGTGAGAGAACTCTACTACCGTACGCAATGACCCTCTCCACGCCATCAACGATTTGAGATAGAACAGCGCCAATACCTGTATCACTGGCGTCGGTGTCCAAGATAAATTGCTTGTTAAAATCGGGGTAACTGAGTGTCAGAGCATCGGCCAGAGCATTTCGAAGGTTTGAAAAGATTCCTGAGCCTCGTCCCAATGAAATTTAACACCTTTTGCTCTTAAGGCGTGGAGTGGTTTGGCAATTGTGGCAAAGTTTGCAACGAAGCGCCTGTAATACGATGCAAATCCGATGAAATTACGCACTTCCCCCACCGACATAGGTGTGGCCCATGTCCTCACGCACTTCGTCTTCTCAGGATCTGTAGCAATGCCAGACTCACTAACAATGTGGCTAAGGTATCTGACGGATTTATGCATAAGATGGCACTTCTGTGGTTTAAACTTTAAGTTCGCATTCCTCATTTTTCCGAATACAGCTCACAGCCGTTCGAGGTGCTCATCAAAGGTGCGGCTAAAAACAATGACATCGTCTAAATATATTAGACAAGAGTCCCATTGAAGACCGGCCAGAACGAGTTCCATGAGTCTCTGAAATGTTGCTAGCGCGGAGTGGAGTCCCATGGGTAACCGATTAAATTGGTAGAGACCTTGTGACGTGCGAAACGCCATTGTGGGTCAGGACGTCTCGTCAAGAGGTAACTGCCAAAATCCGGATAGCAGGTCCAATGTTGAAAGAAATTGAGCACCGGCCAAGCGTCAAAGGAGTCGTCCATCCGTGGTAGTGGGTAAGCATCTGCAATTGTGATTTTATTCAATTTGCGAAAATAAACGCAGAAGCAGAGGCTTCCATCGTACTTTTTGACAAGAACAATTGGCGCACCCCACGGACTGTTAGATGGAGAGATAACATCGGCTGCCAACATGTCATCAACGGCCAGCCTGACCTGCTCCTTTTCGGCAGGACTCATTCTATATGGATTATGGCGTATGGGGGCCGCGTCCCCCGTTTCAATGTGGTGACTGAGCAAATTGGTGCGGTCTAAGTCAAATTTACCTTTACTGAAAATATCGGAAAATTTAATTAGGAGTGATCTCAATTTCCGGTGTTGGGACTCAGAGAGCTCCGCTGAGTCTGAGCTTAACGAATCAAGCCAGCGAAAATCTGTACTTGAGCTCGGCGTCGGACATGTACCAACCCCAATGCTACTAACGATGTGTGTCTCGAGAAGTGCCGGCGATGCGTGAGCAACGACAGTACCTTCACAAACGACCGACATGTGTAAACCCGTGTTCAAGACCTGTATAAAAGGTTGTCCCTCTGCCGATACCAGTGTCTGAGCCCCGACAAGTGCCAGTCCGTGTGTTGCTTTCTTAGATGGTTCCAGCAAAATGGCAGCAGTAGTCGTAGCAGGGTCGAGCTGCTTGCGCAATCGAAGAGGCACTAACATTTGCGCTCCCGGCGGGATTTTTACCGAAACTGCCACGAGTGCGTGCAAAGTGACATGTGTTGGAGTGCACAGCCGTGTGACAGGAGGTAAAAATGCAACACGGTGACCGGAAGGCAACTCGATGCAGCTCTGATCGATCAAAATTCTGATAGGCATTTTGGCCAAAAAGTCCATTCTAAGGAGACATGGAACGGCTAGCGACGTTGAAACGAAAATCGGTCCTGCTAATTTAACATCCCCGATAGAAATTTCAGCATGAAGCTGACCTATAATACCGAGTGATCTGCCGTTGGCTGCGTAAAAAGGCACTTCAACAGGGCTCAGAGGGTGATATATCCCGGGCAGCATGTCATAAATCAACTGGGAAATGATGGTGACGGACGCACCCGTGTCAATGAGTGTTCTAAACCTGATACCGTCAATGGAACCCGTGACGACCGACGTCCCCGCGGTCGCAGCGATCACCCTATGGAGCAGCTCCGACCACTGATCCGGTCGAAGCTGCAGTCTATCATGTGAACGACTCGGCGTGGTGCAACCCGACGCACAACCAAAAACGACGCGGTGAGGTGTGTGAGGTGTGCTATCTGGCCGGGTGTGTGTGGTGCTGCGACTCGCCTCTGAGTGTTGGGAAAAGGTGGAAGATCGTCCCGTCGGTGTTGGAGTCATCGGGAGCCGCCGTCGAGGAACCCAGCAGCCCGATGCGACGTGCCCTTGCAGGCCACAGTTGTAGCAAGAGACGGTGCTGTAGTCCTGATGTTGAGGCGTCCTCTTGCGAGTGTTCTCCTCATGGCGACACGGATGATTTCCCCAGCTGGGCGCTCCTTGTGCAGCACACGCTTGAGCGGGAGTTGCAATGATCATGAGAACGGTGAGGAATCAGTCGAGAACTACACGGGAAGATCTTGTCAATGAGCTCAAGGCAGCTGGGACCATAGTCACCAAGAAAACAATTGGTAACACTACGCCGTGAAGGATTGAAATCCTGCAGCACCCGCAAGGTCCCCCTGCTCAAGAAAGCACATATACATGCCCGTCTGAAGTTTGCCCATGAACATCTGAATGATTCAGAGGACAACTGGGTGAAAGTGTTGTGGTCAAATGAGACAAAAATGGAGCTCTTTGGCATCAACTCAACTCACCGTGTTTGGAGGAGGAGGAATGCTGCCTATGATCCCAAGAACACCATCCCCACCGTCAAACATGGAGGTGGAAACATTATGCTTTGGGGGTGTTTTTCTGCTAAGGGGACAGGACAACTTCACCGCATCAAAGGGACGATGGACGGGGCCATGTACCGTCAAATCTTGGGTGAGAACCTCCTTCCCTCAGCCAGGGCATTGAAAATGGTTCGTGAATGGGTATTCCAGTATGACAATGACCCAAAACACACGGCCAAGGCAACAAAGGAGTGGCTAAAGAAGAAGCACATTAAGGTCCTGGAGTGGCCTAGCCTCTAGACCTTAATCCCATAGAAAATCTGTGGAGGGAGCTGTAGGTTCGAGTTGCCAAACGTCAGCCTCGAACCCTTAATGACTTGAAGAAGATCTGCAAAGAGGAGTGGGACAAAATCCCTCCTGAGACGTGTGCAAACCTGGTGGCCAACTACAAGAAACGTCTGACCTCTGTGATTGCCAACAAGGGGTTTGCCACCAAGTACTAAGTCATGTTTTGCAAAGGGGTCAAATACTTATTTCCCTCATTGAAATGCAAATCAATGTATACATTTTAGACATGCGTTTTTCTGGATTTTTGTGTTGTTATTCTGTCTCTCACTGTTCAAATAAACCTACCATTAAAATTATAGACTGGTCATTTCTTTGTCAGTGGGCAAACGTACAAAATCAGCAGGGGCTCAAATTAGTTTTTCCCTCACTGTAGTTGTAATTACTGGCGAAGCGTCGTACTCAGATTGTAAATGTTGTGGCATGGCTCTCCAAAACACCGGTGTGCTGTACTAGTGACGAATTGGCCACGTTCTGTTTACGTGACAACCCTTACTAGTTGGCTGTGTCGGGTGGTGGCGGGTTTTAACGACACATTTATATATTTACGCGATCTAACCCAAAAAACCCTCTACTATGAATTTAGTTTTTTTATCTATTGTAGTCATTGTTGTTAAACATTTACCATTCCCCATGTGTTCACTCCTACCAGGAACGTAGCCCCATGTTTCCCATTGAAACAACCTTTTTTTACCTCCCTTAACATCGTAAAATTTTCTTTAAAAATATCATGAAGCAGAAGAACCGCCCCGATTGGACATCTGTCCAAATGAACTTCATAGCTCATCGGATTCCTCCAGTCTAAGTAAAGCTGATGCTTATGACATTTCACGTGGCTTCAAGGTGCACCTAGCCTGGTACAAGCTCTGCGGTGACGTCACTGGAATTAAGTAGCGAAGGGCCGTTTCTTCTTGAGGGGCGGGGTGTGAGGTTGAGGGGCGGGGCCTTAGTGGGAGGGGCGGGGCCTTAGTGGGAGGGGCGGGGCCTTAGTGGGAGGGGCGGGGTGTGAGGTTTGAGAGACGCGAGGGGGAAGTGCGGCGTCTACCAGGCAGCAGTAAGCAAGTTGTTGTTGGTTGAGGCGACTTGACTCCTTTATCTCTCTCGCGCTCCCGCCGCGCTTGACTTGCCCCTCCAGGTGCCAGGACTTGTTCGTTACCGCTGAAGCGAGGAGGAGCAGGGGGAGGACAATGAAGGGCTCGTCCACCCCCGACAAACCCAAGGCGACGGAGGGCGACGGCGCCCCTCCGCGTGCTCGCGGCGCCAGGAGGCGCTGCACCAGCTCTAGCGGCCCCGTGTCGGGCGCGAGCCCGGGCCCGGCGGGGGAAGCGCCGCGCGGACACCGGGACAAGCAGGAGGAGGGCGGCAGCAGCAGCCTGAAGTAAGTGGCGCTCACCCGGGGGGAGGGTGGACTGAGCGGGGCAGTGTGCTTGGGCATCGCCTACCCACAGAGGAAACCCACGCAATACGAATAAGGGGTGGCGCTCAGAGCTAAGCACCGGTTGATTCAAGAATCCAGAGCTGTTACTGCCATCTCCTGGCCTCCTCATAATCGCACACCTTCACGTGGCATTCCCCAGCCAGCAGCGTTCAGCAGGCGTCATCCCGCTTAGCTTCCAAATGGTGTGGGGAGCGTTAATGTCCGCGCGGGGTAGGTTAAAGGTGATAAGCAACTCTGCCAAATAGAACGTTTTCGCCTGTGGATGGACTTGGTTTCTGCCATGGCAATGTGGAATGGTCACCAATAGCACCATTGGTTTCGTGAGACGTGGTGAGGCCCACGGCACGAGGAAACCTGATTTGTGCGTAAATGAAGGTCAGGAGGTCGTCCCGGGCCAGTGACGCCAAACTCCCGCACCCCCAGTCTCGCCATGGCCACTAGAGTTGTAAACATCAGTTTTATTTTACATTACCAAGTAATGTGACATACTTTTTTCCTCCTATAGACACGTTTATGAACAGGTAGATGTTTGTACAATTGCCCTCGCCAATCAGTGCGTGCATTTGTAATTCCAACCGGAAATGATTCCAAGTTCCTGACTTTCAAAATCAATTATTCTGAAAACGGTTACCGGTTTTTCGATTCTCGTTTAACAACTGTAATGCTTACACACAAGCAATTCGATGCTGTATATCATGAGCTTGGTTGTCATCCAGTGCTGGAGAGGCAGCAACGAGAATTGGTGGATCGCACAAACCCTTCACGTAGGTGTTTCGGAAGTGTCATTCGCTGGCTCGCCAGGAGACGTCGGTGCTGCAAGTTGACTAATCGCCATCTGTTTCCGTCTGTACGAGGATATAACTGTTGCCCCCTCACACACGTGGGTTTTCTCTAGGTGCTCTGGTTTCCTCCCACTTGCATAAACAGATTAATTGGGGCTAAAATAAAAAAATAACACACTGTAACAGGGCCCTCCTGAGAAATAGTCCTTGCACACTGTGTGGTTCTCCTTGACGAATAAGTAAATTTACAAATTTTATGAAGAAGCGTGATTATGTTGGTGACTTTGATGTTATACGTCTAGTGAGCACTAAGAGGATAACTTCTGCTTACAGGCCTGCCGCTTGCCTCCTGCACACCACCTCAACTTCCTCTGCCCAATAGCACCAATCATAGTGCCCCGACTTGGAAGTGTCTTACACTGTTCTTAGCTGTGCAGCAGGGTGGCTCAGTGGCAGCACTTGTGCCTCACAGCAACAAGCCCCTTCGTTCATAATCATGATGTCAACTTGTAACGCGCCGCCGAATGGTATTCGTCCTCTTGCAAAGAGAGATGACGACTCAAAACAGCAGCAGTGATGCAGTGAGCCAGTGTCAACAATTGCCCAAGCTCTGTGGTCCTCTTATAAATAATTATAAGCTAATTAATGAGTTTATATGTGGAAGGAAACCAGAGCACCCAGAGAAAACCAGTGACATTGTATTTTTTCAGTTATGGAAGGAAACCATTGGACCTGGAGGAAACCCATGCAGAACAGGATGAGAATATATAAACTACACACACAAAGATGCCCGAGTTGGGAATCGAACCCTTACCCTTCTTGCTGAGAGGCACGAGTGTTAACCACTGCACTGACACCCTTTCGCACCTGAAACGAATGCGTTTCGTATTCCCGGGAGATTTGGAATTTGGACCGTGGCGGTGGCTCGCAGTTGTGTGGTCTGGTGAGTGATGTCATAGCACAGCTGATAGCGTCTGCTTGCAGCAGTCGGTGCACACTGTAGCAGTGAGGCTTTTAGAAAGTCACCGAGAGGCTGCGGAAATGGCGTAATTGACTTTGTGTGAACGAGCTAGTTGCACTCACCACATGGCTCTCCACTACTTGAAAATACATCTGTGTTGATAGTACTGCACTAAAAACGAAACTATGTTTATTTTAAACTTGATTTGGAGCTTATTTTACCAGGTAAGGCCCACTTGGCTATATAGCTCTTTTTCAGAAGCGACCTGGCCACAAATGATCGCGCAACGAAGTGGCTTATTAGGTGGACATTTCTTGCAGCCAAATACTCTACATGCATGTTTCTAAATGTGGAGGGAAATACCGGAGGACCCGGAAAAAAATCCACACGACCATTTGGAGAACATGCAAACTCTAAATATACAGGCGTCAGGGTCGGGATCGAAATCACGACTTCCGTATATACCAGGAAAGGTGGTTAACATCTTGCCACCATGGCACCTCTGTCGCCACTTTGAGTACTCTTAGCCACCTGACACAGCCAAAGGATTTGCCACGGTGTGCAAGCGCTTAATGCACCTATTGTTATTGTTTCAGCTCGCTCACCAAATGTCGGTTTCATTAGATTCGAGAGGTTATATTGGAGACTACGACAAACATGTGGACAAGATCCAGGAAGTGAGAATAAAAATCCAGGACTTCCTGGGTTGTTATTGGTTGAGGATTGCAATGATTGTTCTTCAGCTCACCGGTTTAACACTTCAATTATTGGTCTGTGTCAGGTGGTGGAGGGTCTTAACACAGATTTGGTCAGATCATTACATGGCTTCATCCAAAAATATATTTTAAATTCAAAAGTATAAAGTTTACTTTTGATTTGCTCTAACGTCTAGATTTGATTCATAACGGATTAGGATTAAATAATATTCCTTAGGTTTTAGGGAATGCCTTTTTATTGGAGACTGGAGACAAGGGTTAAATGATAAGAGTTACATTTCCACAAACTTTATTTCTTTTTCATTTATTTATCTGAACATGGTATGAACGTAGAGAGTTGTGTCTCTGCATGAGACTACATCTGTATCGGCTGTGTCGCTGCTCTTGCCACATTGCAGGCGGTTCTCGTGTCGTGCTGTTCTCAACAACTGCAATCGGCATCCTGCTGCAACCTGGCACTATATTATTCTGGCTGTCTTGTGATGAAGTCATATGTTGTAGTTTGTTCACTTGGAAGGTTTTCGTAGCCAGTACTCTGGTCCATTTTGGCTTTGGCTGTGTAGTTTATGCAAATCGTTGTCATTAACCCATCACCAGCTGACAGAATTGAGTTGGTCACTCACCATCAACCAAAGGTCTGGAGTTTGATGCAATTTGGCAGGAACGTCATTGCCATAGATATATAAGATTTCCCCAAGTTTCGCGTCTCGAGGTCAAACGGTTTTTATTTGAGAGGTCACTAAATATTTACCTGATATGGCTCCCAGATGAGACCAATGGCAGGAAAAGTACTAATAGCATTCTTTTTTCATGATGCCACAGTAAACAGTAAAATATTAATGGAAAACTCTGTCTGTGCTATATACAATTTTATTTATTTATTTTAACGTTCATTGTAAGGCATAATGTTATTCTTTGACATTGCGCTATATCCTGTAAAAAAGGTAATCTATGAAAATATTTTACCTTTTCTTAAACAAACTTAACATGTCTACTTGTGTAAAGATGCTCTTCGATAAAACTAGCACTGCCTTGCAATGCAAAGACAAACTATCTTGTCTGATCTCAGCATGGTAATAAATAAATAAAATATCCATGCCAATCAACCATGGAACGTTTCAATGAGTACACTGCATTGAGATATTTGGCTAATTGCATTATTGATAGTTGTCATGTGGGAGGAACTGGAGAAAACTCGCACAAATGAGGGTTGCCACTCAAAGCGTCGTACAGAATGATTAAGGAATCTATTTCTGTACTGCCATTTCCTGGCCACCTCCAGCCCCCATCCTCCTACACCTGGTATTCCAGACAAATCCCCCTTGCAATCACTAAACAGGCTCAAACTGCTTAGCTTCCCTTTAGGCCGACTATTTAGTTTGGGGAGGTGAGCTACCATGCAGGCCAAGTCTATACAAGAAGTAAACGCGTGAACACCTACTAGGACACTCGTGTGTGAATTAAGTGTTCTATTACTATTGCTACCCAGAAAGTATAAACTCTTTCAGGATGGTCCTGCCAAGATTTAGCAGTATAGGGGGCGATGTTGCTGCAATGCGTAATGTCAAATTGGGATGTTTTTGCTAAATCCCAGTTGCACTCTTGAGTTAGTTTTTAAGAAAAGGGAGGAAACTGGAGAATATGTACAGAACAGATGGAGAATATACAACCTCCACACGGAAAGGTGTCCGAGTTGAGAATCGAACCCAGGAATTATTGTTGTGAGGCTTGAGTGTCACCACTGTGACATCCTGCCTTCTGTGTTTCAGTCAGTGCCATTTATGGGATGAGAAACTGTGGGAATTCTTACACCCCTGTGGCAGCTCCCTTCGTTTATTAGTTTATAAGGTGAAATAATTATGCTTATTGATGGAGACGTCTCTATGTGTGTGGCAGACCGCTAACTGGTCTTCACCATTGTGTTTCATGCAGTTAGTGGTGACTCAAAACAAAGATTTTAACAATGTTACTGCAAGAAATGCGGCCTGGTCCATTTGTATGTCCATATGCCTTCATTAGGCCACGCGTGTTGTCAATTCACATGGTATTTGCGTGGCTGCGGCGTGTCATGTAGTTGAGCAAAGAGCCAAGACCAAGGATCTGGTTTTGATTGCAGAATTTAAATGGGAGGAGGGTTAATCGGGTTTGGTTGGGCGTGTTGTATGAGTGCTGTTGCATCAGAACAGGATTTTCTGCTGTTGGTTGAACCTAATACAGTGCCCCCGCCCCTGTGGTCTATGAACTCCGCATGGACCACAGGACGGTGTGGAAGCGGAGTAGTGCGGGGCTGCAGTGTACTGGACTAACTGGAGTACATGTGATTATAATTATTCTCGCATGTTTACCCATGAAAGCCTAACCCAGTCGAGACTTTCAGCGGGGTCGTGGCAGGTTTGAGTAATTGGCAGGTATTTTTTTTTTACTTTGGGATGTTTGGCTAATACCATTTGTATTGTTTTTTACACACTTGTTGAACTTGGCAAGTTGTCGGTTTATATTCTTTGGAATCTTTGACGCTTAATATGTTGATCTATGAAGCCTAACGAGCTGAAATTTTCTACACAGACAATGAAATATTTAATTGCCGGTCCAACTACTACATTGTAATAATTAAACATCGTACATTGTACCCCCCTCACTTTTGAAATCACGAATGGTCGCGCCCACCTACGGCGGCAAAGGTCTGGTCCAATGACAACGGCTGTTGCTGGCCAGCCTGTAACCAATGAAAGAGGCGCTCATATCGCCACTTGTTATGGCGTCGGGTCGACTATTGTGCCACCCTCTTATAGCGAAAGCGATAAACTTTTGAATGCACAAACTTTTATTTGCACACAAAAGTAGAGAATACATTATTTTGACTCCGGAATTAATCAAATTTGATGTGTTCAATAAAAGTTGGCCCCTTTCTTTCGATACGTTTAATTTTCATTATGCAGGCCACCCATTTTAATTGAGCGCATCAAATTTGATTATTTCTAACTTTCGAATGCAAATACAAGTTTGTGCATTGAAAAGCTTGTTTTTTCCTATGGGAAGAAAGTGAAGAACCCGGAGGAAAGCCATACAAAACAAGGGTGGAACATACAAACTCCACCCCGATAAGAGCCCGAGTTGGGAATGAAACCTAGGTCCTTCTTTTCTGAGGCACAGGCGTTAACCACTGTGCCACCCAGCCACAGTGTAGTTCTATGGCACATTGTTGCGTGGTGGTGCAATGTGGTAGAATAGTGTAATGCAGTGTTGCATATTGGTGCAGTGTAGTATATTTCTCTGAATAGTTCCATCTATCTCTTGTCTTATAGGATTACATGTCTTTTCTATTGTATTTGAATATATCTCCTAGAATCTCTGGTTCTGATGCATCCTCTTCTATCACATCAAAATACATCACTTATTATCTCTTTGGTCTTATCTGAATACATCTTTCAAACCGTTGTCTTGCGTTGACTGCTCCTTAATATCGATACCTTTGTCTCATCTGCATCTCTCATCACTTCACCTCTGTCTCGTGTCTCATCTCGTATTCTACATCTCCATCACTTTTCTACATCTCTCATTGCACGTCTTGTATGCCTTGTGTAGTCGGTGGAATGTGTTGTCAGTTTGGTGGCTAGTGGCTGTATGTACACAAAACGGTACCAGTGCGCAATGATACGAATACAGACACGGACGCATCCGCAATCACGGACGCGAGAAACACGAACCCTGCCCTGTGTGGGTGCCCGGTGAAACCTGCATGAGCACCGCGTGTGTGGGTGCCCATGCTGGAATGCGGCTGGGAATGCACGAGTGGTAACAGCTGTTGAGGTTGCATAAGAGGGGTGGGATTGAATGAGGTGGGTGGCGGCTGCTGTGGGGCAGCTGGCTGGAGGTTACTGGGCTTGGGTCAGCTTATCCAGGGTCTCTACAAGCACCGTTTCAGCTGTCAAGGAGAGAGTAAGTGTGCACCTTTGATGGGGGTGGGCAATAGCTGGAAAGGGGGGTGGTGACGTCTGCCCTTGCTGTGTGGCAGAGGAGGGCCAGGGTGGGCACATAGCCGGCCCTATGAGGTCTCGTATAAATAGTGCACTGCCTGAAGATGTGGACTTGCCTAAAGCCAGAACAGCAGCATTGATCTGGAGACAAAGCTTGTCATATGGGCAGCAGTAGCTCACTGGTAACGATTGTGCCTCAAGGCAAGAAGGGCCTGGGTTCAGCTTCTGACTCGGGCACTTTTCTGTGTAGAGTTGGTATGTTCTCCCTCTGTTCTGCATGGGTTTCCTTCAGGTTCTCCAGTTTCTTTCCAATGAACACACATGCAATGTAACTGTTATTTGCCAAACATTGCAACGCTGAAAAAGTCTGCAAATTACTCAAGTGTGATTACACATAGCAACATCATCCCCGACTGAAAACACTTAACAGAACTCTCCTGAAATAGTCTTGAGACTCGGTGAAGGTTTCTTGGGTAAACAAGGGCAATCATAATAATAATATCTCTTTCCCACCTCGCCCTACCCTCTGCCCCTTCCGTGTTCTTCATTCACCGTGCACTGTAGATGCCACAGAGTGCAGGACTCACTCCTGAGCTCCTCCAGTGGTTTCAGCAACTATAGAGGCATCATCAACTGGTGTGTCATCATGCTGGTATGGGCGTGTGTGTGCACGTGTGATGATTATAGATGTGTGATGTGGGCGACAGCATGGTGGCTTGGCCCTCATGCGATTTCTGCTCAAGTCTCAGAAGGCCCGTTGTTAACGTGGAGGTTCTCGTAGCCTACGATTGATTTTTTGTTTGGGCCAAATAATGATCAAATCTGTGTCGATAAGATACCTCCAGCACCCGACACAGCAAAACAACTTAATTGTCACCTGTGCAGTAATTTAATGATGTGCCAATAAGATTTAAACTAGATATTAACCATCATAAACAAAGTAATTCTTATTACAGTTTATCTGGGCCAAATTATGAACATTAACTGCATTATTCCTGCTAACTGGTCATGCATGTTCCGGTCATAGCAAGATTGCAATATTGTTATGCGTGTGTTGTTTTCACGTCTCTCTGAGGTTGTGAGAACTTCTCCAGTTATGTCTCACTTGAGCCGCTTGTGACTCACGAACCCCCTGTGCCCACCCTCCCAGGTGCTGGGAAACGCCCGTCTCTTCCTAGAGAACCTCATGAAGTAAGACTTTTCAGCTCAGGAAAACTGTAATAATAACAACAGTACTTTACCGAAAGAACTAAGCATATAGGTGTGTCTCACTTAAGGAGTGGTAAGCGAACACTCGATAAACGTCATCATTTTCCCATTGACTCCCATATTAAAATTTGAGATACGTTTCAGAGGCAACATTTTCCACTCTTGAACAACTCTTTTAACGTGAAACAGCTACATTTGAAATCACTCGCACACACATTTTCTCTCCACTCAATCACACAGCCCTCTTATGCTCTCTAGCTCTCCCCATCTCATACATACACACATTCCTCCCCCCACCAAATAAAAATAACCCCCCATGTAGTCTTAACAGACTGTTGGGCCAAGTGTTGTTAGCGAGCACCTTTGAAGGCTGGAATGACACACAAGTGGTGGGTGGCCTGTACCACACCCGGCCATATTTGTCACCCTAGTGGCATGTTACACTCTGCATCATTTGAGTCCGAGTCATGCTAGGGGAGACCCAGGAACATATCAGATTATCGTCACTGGTGTTCGACGTAAGCGGGAATAAAACTCTGATTGCCAGATTCGTAGCGCCGCGTGCTAACCGTTGCGCCACTGCTCCCTACAGCCACCCCTCCCTCCACCCACCCATTTCAGTGACACCACGAGGCCCCCACCCGTCACCCACTCCTTCCCGAATCATACGCTTGCGCAGCATAGCGCAGGAAACTCATAAACAACTGCGGGCAGTGGTGCGCCCCCTGCCATCACTGACGCATTTGATCGATCATCTCCGCTCGTTACGTGAACGTTTACTAATTTTTTGAGCCAATGAGGCTAAATTCAAATAAGTCGTTATAGCGACTTCTCGTAAAAAGAACGCTCGTTAAGCGAGACACACCTTTAATGGTAATGGGTTTTTTTGACAGAGTGCCCTTTACACCGGGACGTCTCAAAACACTTAACATTTGCATTTACATCTCATCGCAACCGATTTTTAAAGGGCACCCCCAGTGGCAGCTGTCTCTATGTGGACACAAGGTGACTTGGTACCTGACATGCAAGCAGGCATTGGATTGCTGCCAGGAGGGGGAAATCTTGCTATGTTGGCTATCATTTGTGATCAGGTCACTTCTGAAAAAGAGCTGTATAGCTCGTTAAAATAAAAATAATTTAGTTTTTAGCTTATTTGAGTAATTTGCGGGTAATTGTTCAATTTTGGACCGTGATGCCAGCACACAATGGCCTGTTCACTTCGAATGTCATCACAGGATCCTTAGCATTACAATACTACACCTGCCCTGGTTACTACACCTGTAGTAATAACCAGGGCGGCCTGCTGGTTTCACTCTTGTCATGGCTTATCATGTTACGACACTATTTAAATTGTCATTAGTAGTATTTTATGGTTAACACACCCGCAGTAATAGCCAGGGCGACTTGCTGGATTTGAACCCTAAATCTCTGTAACAAGTGGCGAGCACGCTATTGCTGGGCTGTGTCACTGCCCCGATCAGTATGAATAGTTTAGTGCTCATTGCCCTCCCAACTGCACCTACGTGTTGGTATTAAATTCCCGTGTCTGCCCCCATGTTACTTGTGGTGGAGACTTACAGGAGCGCTGCTGCCTGCTGTGAAGTGGACACTGCCCATCGTGCGAGGTTATTTACAAGAGGGAGATTCCCTGGGCTTGGGTCAAGGCCCACATGCTAGTATTGCAAGTTACCCACAGCTGTTTTATTATTATAAATATTTGATTAACGCTTGTATGCCCAGGAAAGCCTCTGAGTCTCAAGACTCGTTTTCATCAGCAGAACATACGTAACATTGGACTTCCCAGCTCACTAACGGTTCTTATCTGGCTTAAGAGAGGGCAATAATTAATTAATTATGTTTAGGCAGTGGTATGAAATATGGGGCACCATGAGCATTTAAATTTGGAAATTGCACACATCACTAAGAGACAGCATCATTGTTCTTGTGCATGTGTATATGTGATATTTGGAGTGTGTACGGGAAATGATAGTTGAGTTGACTGCCAGCCCCTTAATTCGTTTGTATAGGACAGTGGCATCATGGGTAGGCCGTATCCTGTGCTGATGTCCCAAGCACTCAGGTTCAATACTTGGGGCCTGAGTACAGAACGACTTGCGCATTTCTCAAAATAATGTAAGTTGGGTTAAAGGTAGAGCTTGTCGTGATTCTGTTTGAATGAGGAAGTTAAGGAAATCAAACAACGTAAGTTAGGATATAACTTAGGGGTGATCAGGACTCCTAAAAAAAAGTTAACTGAAAATTAATGACCTAATTATTGGCAAAATACATATTCATAACATTAATAACTAACATAATCAACATGCATAACGTAAATTTACTTACCACAGCCACAGACTGAATTACAGAGCAATGACTTCTTGGTGGCCTTGCTGCATGGGTGTTGCCTGCTTGGACGCTGATTGGCTGATGCAGTGAGAACGATGACCTCACCCCTTGCAACCGCAGCCATTTACAGCATTGCTATCTCATGAGCACACCATTATATTTCCTTCGAATTTTGATCCGGTCTCTCTTACGACATTTCAGATCTTACTACAATTGCAGCCTGCCAGACTTTTGCAAGAACTTTCTGTACTCTGGCCCTTGGCCAGCCTATCGGTGGCAATTGGCATCTGAACCCAGCATTATTGACGAGGCCACTGCCTGGTGTCATGCCTGCGTTAAAAGGTGTACTTCCCCAGCATAAATGCACGTGTTTGTGTGTGTGTGTGCACAGATATGGAATACTGGTTGACCCAATTCAGATTGTTTCGCTGTTTCTGAGTGATCCGTACAGCTGGCCTGCCACTTGCTTGGTTATCGGTAAGCGCCACCACCCACTCGGTGCATCACTGTCTGTCCGGTCATCAGTGCGTGCTCTTATATTTAGAGTAATTTTGTTTCGTGTGACGTGGCCTAGCGGGAGCGCATTCACCGCTTATTGGATACGAGCGGAAAGTACCCGGCATTGCCTGGCCGAAAAAGACATACACATCGACTTACACAGACATCGACCCACACACGCAAATACATCGACTTACACACACGCACATATTGACTCACGCACACACACATCGACTTACACCCACACACATCGACTTATACACACACACACATGGACATACACACACACACATCGACTCACACACATCGACTCGCACGCACACGTGGACTTAGACACACACATTATTTTAATATTTACGAACTTAATTTTTAAATATTAGGTGTCCCCACACATACACATTATTATTTTAATATATCCTAACTTAATTTTTTAAATATTAGTTTTCTAACTACATGAGTTTAGCGAAAGAAGCAAGAAAATAGTACCTAACAGTGACGTGGTGAGACCTAGTCCCGTGCAGAGCCTTCGGCCTCACCTAGATTGCCCAGCCGGCCGAGGTTGCACCTTGGCAGGCTGGGGCTGGGCTGCTATACCGCCCCCCCACCGCCCGCTCTACAGTAGCAGTTCCTACAAACTACAGTAGGATCTACCTACTCTACAGTAGTATCTACCCACTCCATAATCGTATATACCGACTCTATAATAGTATAGTGAGTTCAACCGAGTCGCAGACGTACTTTTGGAGGCAACGCATTTATGTAACACCAACACACGGGGTAACTGCCCCTTAACAGAATAACTACACTAATTACAACGTAACTAGCTACAACGAACCGGACCCCAGCTTGGGTCCCAGTCCACGTGTTGGAGACTCGGTAGAAAGTAGACGAAGGTTTCTTCAGGATAAACAACAGCGCCGGTCCCTCCGGGGGACCTGGCTTATATCCTCTGCGGCGTGGCTGGCTCCGCTCTTGGCCATGACCACCTTCCAGAATCCTCAAGCAGGATCTCGACCCTGACATGTGACCACCCCGAGCCCCCACATGGGGCCCCTGTGGAGACTTAACCAGTCACGAGTCCTCTGGGGTCAACCAGAGTGCCACGGCCCTTAGTAACCCAATTTCCATGGCCGGTACTCCCACACCCTATCCTGTAGGGGCCGGCACTGCACGAAAGCGTGGTGCCATCCAGCGCTATCGATCAGCGCTCACCGAGCCCCTCTAGGGCTGGTTTTGCACCCACATTCTCGTGGTGTCTGCGATGTCGTTACACCGCACGCCGTGCCTCTCCAGGGCCGGCATTATACAGTGACATCCCGCGATGTCACTCCAATAGTATATATTGACTCTATAATAGTATTAACTTCAAAAAAGTGTTGTGGTGAGGCCTAGTCCCGTGTAGAGCCCCCGGCCTCGCCTAGATTTCCCAGCCAGCTGAGGTGGCACCTTGGCAGGCTGGGGCTGGGCCGCTACTACCCCCCCTCCACTATCCCCCCGCCCGCTCTACAGTAGTAGTACATAAGCTCTATAATATTAGTATCTACTGACCCTATAGTAGTAATTGCACACATTGGGGTGGGGGGGGGAGAAGAGGAAATTGTACTTTGAAGAATGTACCTCAGTCTTGTGTTTTTTTTGGTTGCATTTTTTACGCAAATGAGAATCCCCCCCCCCTCCCACCGAACGCGTACGTGTCGCTAGGGGGCGCGCATGCGCAGATGCGTGCATTGGCGCGCTGGTAGGTGCAAATAATAGATAAATAACAAAAACTGCACAAAATCGCTAATTAAAGTACTTTAAAGGTGACGGACATGAAATTGGAATAGCGCTGGCTCACCACGGGGCTTATGCTGTTCTACCTGGGTACTTTTTAAAAACGTAAACCCAACGGTTTGCGAGCCAAATCCTTCGTAAGTGTCGGCCACACACACACAGACGGACAGACAGACATACATAAAATGCTTTTTATAGGTTAGAAGTTCACGGTTCAAATTCAGTGGCCGCCCTTTTTTTACTGCATGTGTATTAACCGTATATATACTACTGTGCACCGTGTGCTTCACAGTGAATATTCAAGATCCCGTGATGTCATTCGAAATAAGTCAGCCATGGCGGGCCATGTCAGGGTCAAAATTGGAAAAAATTCCCGCAAATTACTCAATTGGGATGATACAATTATTGTCCCACTACTGCAAAGCTTGTCAGGAACTTCCTGAAAAAGATTCCTGAGACTTGCCGAGGCTTTCTTGGGTAAACAATTGCAATCGTAATACACATTTGTTTTTTTCCATCCTTATCGTGCGAGAATGTCATTAAAGTGATATGTTTCACAGACAAATTCTGCAATAGTTTCACGATCAGAGAGCAATGTTGCGTGTAATCCTAACTACATAAATTATTGTAATTTTTTTAATTTGGACTATGGCATCGACACACAATGGCCATCTTTTTTCAAATGACATCAGAGGATCGTTAGCATACACTTTGAAGCAGACGACACCTGTTATGATGATTATACACCCGCGGTAGTAACCAGGGCGGCATGCCAGATTTAAATGTGAACCTCTGTAACATGCACTCTCTCGGCCATGTCACAGCCCCAAATTCCCATGCTTGATTTCACCACATGTCTGCTCATCAGAGAGCTTGCTAAATCGGGTCTGTTTTGTGTCTTTGCAGTGTCTAATCTGTTCATAATGGCCGGTTTCTTCATCGAGAAGCTTCTTGCATCGGTACGTGCAGCTTTAGTTGGGAAATCACTGGCATGTTTGTGTTTTGAGTGCTATTTAGTATTGCGCTTGGTTACCCAGGAAAGCCTCCGTGAGTCTCAAGACTCTTTCTTTAGGAGGGGCCCTGACATGTTTTCGCAGTAGGGGACGGTGGTGCTTATGTGTGCAGTCCCAACTGAGTAATTTGCAAGGAATTTTCAGCCATTGGCCAATAACAGTTACATGATATGATTGTTCTAGCTATTTTGTTTGGAAACTGGAGACCCTGGAGGAAACCCATGCAGAACAGGCGGAGAAACATACAAACTCCACACAAAAAGGCACGCAAGTCGGGAATCGAACCTTGAGGACCTCTTGCTGTGAGGCACGAGCGTTACCACTCTGCTATCACCCTGCCACTTTAGTGTGCTTCGCGTGAACACTTTCTTTCACTCTCCACGTTGGCGCATGTGCAACATGGGCAAACTATCTAAATTACATTAATGAATAACTTTGGTGGCAGACCAAAATGTGAGTTTTGTTTAGCGGTGTGTTAAGGCCCATATTACACAAGAAACACGGATATAGTGACACTCCTCTCGTCTGCGATAACGCCACGGGCACAAGTCATGTAAAATCCAAGCTATAGATTAGAGGAACCTACACCCTGTTATCCACGATTACAGCTCCTCTCATCCGCCACTGTTACCCGTGATGAGTGCGGTTAATAGGTTAGCATTGCACGGGGTCCTAGATCGTGACTGTTATCACAAGCTGAGGTCCGGTGTAGCCATGTTGTATACTGTACTGCAGTATAGCGATGTAGCATACAGTGCTGCTATATAGTGTACTGCATTTCAGTGTAGTAGTGTCGTGCATGGTACTGCAGTGTAATGAGTGACGTAGCGTATGATACTGCAGTGTGGTGGTGTAGCCTATTGCAGTGTAGTGTAAAGTAGTGTCGTAAATACATCCTTGGTATCATCTTCAGTTGCACCATCACCATCCATTGAACAACATTACATTGAGGTTTGGCTGTATTACGTAGCCTCGGGGCCGTATGCTTTGTCACAACTCTGTTCCCGCTTGGCTCTGAGAGTCAGCTCATAGCCATGCTTCACTTGGGCCAGCTCTGACCATGGTCTTAGCTACATTCAGTTCAGGATTTAAATGAGTTGAGCCTCAGCCAAGCCACGGCTGAACCATTTGTGCATCTTTGAAAGCAACCAAGCGGCTCATGCCTGAGCTGAACTGCGTTCGAGGCTGAGTCAGAGCCAAGACGTGAATATCGCCGTCAATTTGCACGCTGCTTTGTGCAGGTGGAAGAAACTACTGTGTGTGTCTCTGCCTGCAGGGAATTCTGGGAGAGCGGCTGGGCCAATGGCTGCACTGGCTGAACCTGCTAACGGAGCTAACACTGCCTGTGGTCGTCACGCTCCTCGTCTCGTCTATTAATCCCAGTACGTGCTCACATCCAAACACACAAATAAACAGACCACCTGTGTCGCCCTACACAGGCTTGGGGCAGGTGCTGTTTGCAAGCATCTATGAATGTCGGTATAGCGAGCGAGGAGGAGGGTAGCCAACATTACAGTGCTTATGTTTACACACCATGTCAGGTACTAATTTAAGGCTCAGTTGACCTAGGAGAGGCCCAGGACCGGTTCCAGTTTAAGTATGTATCACCAATGTTGCTTGTGGAGGAATTTAACTGATGTCCTGGAATTCATAGCACAGTGAGCTAACCATAAACCTACTGCTCCCCATAAATGCATACGGGGACACGCATACATGCATCCAGGATATCCACACACATATACAAGGGGACACATGGAGATGTGCACACACGCAGTTATGTGTGCGCATACACGAGGACACATACACACGGGGACATGCACACAAACCTTCATCACCAAATTTTACCTCAGCCAAGAAATACATCTTAAACAAGTCAGAGAAGATGGTTTATTATTTTCAACTGACCAGAATCTGGGAAGTCATTATTGCTGTTATTCTTAACGTTGCATGGCTACATTTTTGACTGACTTACAGATCAGCACACCGGCTCCAAGAATGGCCCCACGGGAATTCCTTTACTTTTTTCTTTCTTCGTCTTTAAGAACTGGAGATGGCAAATAGTTGTTTTTTAAAGTTTAATTCTTTTCACTTGAATATCAATTGGTGAACCAATGCATCTTTCCATCCCTTGCGTCACAGCACATAGCCCAAGCTCCCTCGGCTCAGTCGTGTTGCACACTCACTTTCCACACCACCCAACCTCGCCCCTGCTCCCACATTCACTTAGGAGTTTGGAAAATAAACTCCCGAACTCACTCTTGTGGCTCTGACAGCACTTGCTGCATAGTTATTACATATAAAGTATGTTTAAGGTCAGTTCGAGAGGTTTCTTCATTGTTAAAATAAATCAGTGGAGCTAGACAGGACCCATCTCCATTGGAGACCCTGAGACTGTGGTGGAAACTCCATATTGCCATGATGGGGGCCAGTGTATTCATAGTAAACAGATGTGGGAACTCTTTAGATGACATGAAGATGCTGCATTTTGCAAATCAAACTGCTGAGGTTGTGAAGTGGATCCATGTGAAGTAGAGCACCGATGGGTTCTGCTATTTCAGGGCATCGTGTAAACATGTTAATAGCTCAAAACTACCGTAAAGCCACCTGGACTTTGTCCAGAGCATTTTCGCAAGAGCACTCCTCATTGATCTCTAGTAAATGTTTTGTTTGTCATTGATCAATTTACTCAACATATAAATAATAAAAATTTTACAACTGACAATCTAAGAGCAAAAAATACTTTCATCGTTAAAGACATGCTCTGGGGTCATGAGGATTGAAGACATCGTTAGCACATGTTTGGGTCTGTTCACTACGTTTATTATCATATTGCGGTATTTAGTTTTTTTTTCAGAGGGTACGGTTTTATTGCGTAAACATCGCAGCATGTCGATATGTAATGCAGTGTCTTACATGGCCACGTGGCACTATTATAAAATAAGTGACTTTTGTTCTGATGTAACGCTTCGAATTTGCAAAAATAATTGTGAACCTCTGTATTCATCGTTAACCATGATCAGCTGCTACTGTGATGAGGGCAGGGCCAAGTTGTCTTCGTTCCCCATAATCTAGCAAAGCAACATTCTACATAACGTCTGAAATGGGCTCATCTCATTGCCGTCACCATCTGAGCACCGTAGCTACCCCGTCATTCTTGCCACATTTGGCAATAGACGCTGACTCTACTTGAGCAAATAGCTATAGTGAAATGGGTTTTTTCCTGATAATCTTGTTTTTATCTGTATGCATGTATGTATGTTGAACTTCATTCGCATCGTACGTAGCCAAATGTGCTAATTGGAAAGCTGCCGCTTTCAGAAGTGTTTTCAGTGTTCATTTCTGTAATGTCCAGGATATGAACAGTAACATCACATGCATTCATCATCACTTTGAAACAACCAAATCCCACCTCCTGCTCTGAACAGAAACTCAGATCTCACCATCATCTGACCTCACACATTCAATATTCCCAGCAAACAGCCTCTTACACGCTCTCCGGTTGAAAAGTGGAGTTTGTGTTTTCACCAGAGATAGAATCTATGTTTCAGACTGCTATGATCTTGAGATCTCTGTAGCACTGTGGTATTCGCATACCAGACTCCGTCTTGGACTGGCCCACTACCTTAGATCTGTTCCTGACTTCTGGCCTGACTCCACACATAGTTGACGTTACTTCACCAGTTGGCACGTCTGACCTCCGTTAATTACTGTAAAGTACTTCTGCCCCCTTGTATATGAAAGTGACCGAGATATTGTGGCATTTAAAAATTGCTTATTGGAATTAAGGTCTGCAATGTAATACTCTATGCTCCATCTCCTTGACAGACGTCCACCACAATGTTAGAACGACGGTTTTTTTTGCCAACACAAATCTTCACAGTCTATCTAAACATAGAGGGGGCGACTCGCTCCAGACCGAGTGTTGAGTATGACTTGATGACAGCTGAGTGTGTATTTTGGCAGTAATCTAAGGTTGCGTGTTGACACATGATGTTCAGAAGTAATGGTTCTGTCAAAAGTGGGAGCTCTGCAATGTCGGTTCTTCACATCTTAGTTGGCATGCAATTGATCGCATCTGGTGGATTGGTCAAACCCCCCGTTGGTCGCAGTCTGCTCCGCCATCATGCTGTTCGTCTACACGGTGCTCTTCCTAAAGCTCTACTCGTATGCCGACGTCAACCGCTGGTGCCGCGAGCAACGTGGCAAGCCCGGCGCAGGGCGCCGCTTCGCACGTTCCCTCTCCAGTACGCACGCTCTCCGCCACGCCGACACCCTCACCCTCACTCCTACTGGCACGACGCTTGTTTACCCAAAATGTCGCCGAGTCTCAAGATTATTTTACAGGAGGGTCCTGTAAAGTTTTTATAACTGTAACGTGTAATCCCATTTGAGTAAATTGCATGCAGTTTCTCAGCATTTGGACAATACCAGTTACACTTCATGTTTTTTCACCTATGGGAGGAAACCCGAGAACCTGGAGGAAACCCATGCAGAACAAGGGGAGGTCATACAAACTCCACACAGCAAAGGCCCGAGTCAGAAATTGTACCCAGACCCTTTTTGCTGTCAGGCACGACCATCTATTTGTATTATTGTACATTTAAATTAAGTATATGGATTCATATTCGTGGTTCTTTCAATCAGTCACGTAGAAGGGAAACAATAAAATAATACAAATATAAAACAATACAATTCTCACGACGTTTCGACTGCAACACAAGCAATCATCATCAGGTGTGAAAACCACAACAAGAAAATTTGAAAAAAGTGGCCTGGGTCACATCGCTGCAGACGAAGAAAGATCTGAAATCGCTGCAACCCTTAAAAACGCTATGATGCCAGCTACCAACCTCAGAAAAGATTAGCGTTTTGAATTATATAAATTAAAAAAGAGGGATGACATTGTCATCCTCTCGGCTGACAAGGGCAATGCCACTGTCATCATGGATAAAATAGAATATAACAACAAAACTAAGAAATTACTCAACGATGGCAGCTATACAAAAATAAAAATAGATCCCACCAACATCCTCGTCATAAAAACCAACAAAACAATTTCTGATTCAACCGCATTAATTGATCAAACCAAACAGTTCTCGTTGAAACCTTCTGCTGCCAGGCCACCAAGATTATACGGCTTACCAAAAATACATTAAGTAGATACACCCCTTTGTCCCATCGTCTCTACTATCAACTCCCCCACCTACAAACTGGCTCGTTTTCTGTCTGAAATCCTGCGGCCTTTCACTGGAAAAACCACCTCTGCGGTACAAAATTCTACTCACCTGGTATCGACAATCAAGGGTATTTCCCTGTCCCCAGACGACCTGTTTGTCAGTTTTGATGTAGTTTCCTTATTCACCAAAGTTCCTGTACCTGACATCGCAATCATTGAAGACTTGGTTCATCAAGGACTAAACACTGAGGTACCCCCCCCTGGTTAGACACTGCTTAACCAATACATACTTCACTTGGAATGGAACTTTCTACAAACAAATTGAGGGCACCCCAATGGGCTCCCCCCTATCTCCGGTTGTAGCCAACATTTTCATGGAGAAATTTGAGACTGACGACATCCAGACTGCCACTCTGCGCCCAACCTTATGGAAGAGGTACGTGGATGACACTTTTGTCATCTGGCCACATGGCCGGCCTGCTCCAGACCAATTCTTCGACCACATCAATTCCATACACCCAGCCATCAGATTTACCATGGAAGTCGAAAAAGATGGTAAGCTACCTTTTTTGGATGTCCTAATAAAAAAGAGACCTGATGGTTCAATGAGCCACTCTGTCTACAGGAAAGCTACCCATACGGATGCTTACCTGAAACCGGATTCCCACCACCATCCATCCCAGAAGAATTCACTCATCAAGACTCTGCACCATAAAGCCCAATGCATATCCGACCAGGAACACATAGCCAGTGAACTCAAGCACGTACACCAAGCTCTTAAGGCTAATGGTTATTCCAACTACACAATCCGCAAAGATATCACTCCAACCATGAAGAAGGACCCTCTTGAGGAGCCTTTCAAAACCATCACTTTACCCTACATTGCGGGGATCACAAAAAAGATCTCCAAAATCTTGAATAAACACAAGATCCAGGTCCGATTCAACACATTACATAAAATCCGTGATCTGGTTCTGTCTGTAAAAGATGTGATTCCGCACATACAGTACCCTGGCGTCTACAAACTAAGTTGCCTCTGTGGTCGTAGTTACATTGGAGAAACCAAACGACATGTCTCGGACCACATTCGTGAACACAAAGCAGACCTGAAACACGGTAGGACCAACACCCCGGCCGTGGCTACCATGAGAGATTCGTTCATGAGGCTATCCACATATGCAAACACAGAGACAATTTCAACCGAGAATTAGGATTCTGGCTTAGCAATCATTGGAAGGATTTGATAAACCATTTCGGGTCTTAATTGATTGATCACGCTTAAGGTGGCTTTCAGACCGCATCCATTATTTTTCATCTCCCCCTTCCTCTTTTCCAAACATAGATGGACTCGTCCATCTGAACAAACTGTCAAATATCGCTATCCGTGGTGCTAACGTTAAAAAACTGCCACTTTTTTAAAATTTTCTTGTTGTGGTTTTCACACCTGATGATGATTCCTTGTGTTGAAGTCGAAACGTCGTGAGAATTTTATTGTTTTATATTTTTATTATTTTATTGTTTCCCTTCTACGTGACTTTACAGAAAGAACCAAGAATATGAATCCCTGCAGTCACAAAAGCTTTAAATCAAAAGTATATGGATGTTATTTATCTGTACAGTATAGGATTAATGTTATTAACCATTTACATTTTTCCTGTATATTGAGTCGTACACGGGGACATAACCCCAGTATCTAGATTTGCGATTTCTATTTTCTCGGAGATTTTCAAGAGCCTAACCCTCGCGAATGTCCAGGTCTTACCATACGATGAAATCACCTGCAAGTTACTCAATTTGGGATCTCGTATAGAAACGTTGACTACCAAAACTAGGCAGGATCTTGCTGATGTAGTGTATTGAGACTAAGTGTGGGTGCATTTGGAAAATTAAACGTAATCACGGTAATCACAATAACACTCGGTGTCCCATTGTACCATGGTGTTTGTGCCCCCGCAGCATCCTCAGTTGGCAAGGTGAACGGAGAAGCCAAACAGGTGGCAGTCGTGCATTACCCTGACAACCTGAACTATAGAGGTGCGGCTTCACACACAGCTGGCATCACAGCACTACCCATGAATACACATCCACAGCATAGCTAACACATAGCATAGCTAATACTACATCGCTAATACAAACCATATAGCCAATACACAGTATAGCTAACACACCGTATAGCTAATACACACTGTATAGCTCAGAATCTGAATCTTAAATTCATACTGGAGTAATCCGATGAGCTATGAAGCTCTTTTTCACAAATGTCCAGTAGCTAGACTCTACGGGCAGTCCTCGACTTACGAACGGGTCTCGTTCCCAAGACCCGTTCGTAAATCGACTGGTTCGTATGTCAGAATTCACTAATGTACCGTATTTACTTGTATTTAATTGTACATACGGTTAGTGTTATAAAATGTATAGCAGTTCAACAAAAAAGGGAAGCATTGTTAAACTCATAAGAATAAATATTGTACATTGGCATGTAATACTCAAAAATACTGTATAGTAAATAAAACAAAATAAAGTAACATGAAAAGAAAAAATAATCTGTTTTTATTATATATTACCTTGAGTCCTGATGCTGGCTTGCTTGTCGGAAGAGGTGTAATGAGTCCCCACGATTGTGCCCACACACAACAACAACAACAACAACCACCGCCATTCACCACTTAGTGGCGGTGACGTCACCACGACGCTTGTGCCAAACCATGTGCACCTTGAGGCCACGTGAAGTGTCGAACGCCCGCTCAACCACATAACGTGGTTGAGCAATAGGGAGCCATCCCTTGACCGCACCCGGGCATCGATCAGCCTCCCATTATATCTGTACCATATGGAGATTCCCCCGGTACAGCTTTTGAAGGCTTCCTGAACTACATGGTCAAAATAGATGTTAAATAATGTGGGAGCCAGAGGACATCCCTGTCGCACCCCAAGGTGTACAGGGAATGGCTCTGACTCCTGGCCACGTAGTTTTACCCGGGCCCGCTCACCATCATGAAGGTCCTTAATGATCGTGAGCAGAGGGTCAGGGACTCCAAAAGCACGAAAAACAACCCAGAGCCCAGGCCTACAGATGGTATCATAGGCTTTGACCAGGTCAATAAAGCAGAGATGTAGGTCTTGTTGGAATTCCCTACACCTCTGCTGTAGCAGACGGACAGAAAATATGGCATCTGTGCAGGACCGCCCTTTCCTTAAACCGCATTGGGGCTCCGCAAGCCTCTCCTCAGCGTGCCTGGCAAGGCGATGTTGAATAATCCTTGCCAGGACCATTCCCGGCACACTGAAGAGTGAGATGCCCCTGAGTGAGATGCCCCTGTAGTTGTTGCAGTCTGTGCGGTCCCCCTTCTTAAAGAGGGGGACCACCAGGGCATCCTTCCAATCCTGCAGAACCCGTCCAGTGGTCCAGATTGTTGTTATGATGTTATATAGGACAGTCTGTGCACAAACGCCACCCTCTCTCAGCATTTCGCTTGGGAGATTGTCTCTACCCAGTGCCTTTCCTGGTCTCAGACTCCGGTTCGCCTTCAGTACTTCCTCAACAGATGGCACCTCAGCCAGCCACTCACAGAGGGTGACTTCTTCCAATATTTGAGGCACCGCAGCCTCAGCAGGGTCATCCCCACTTTGTGCCACGATGTTTTCCTGGCTGAGGGATTTTCCCTCCCCCAGGACCTCACAGAAATGCTCAGCAAATTTGCAAACCTGTTCCTGGGGATCGGAGATTGGATCACCGTTTTTTCCCCTAATGATGGTAATAGGTGTGGCATTGCAGGTTACTTTTTTCATGGAGTTAAATAGAGATTTGTGATCACGGGCCACTGAGGCAGACTCCATCTCCTCAGCAACCCGCGACCACCACCCATCCTTGCAGCGCCTCACGGCTCTCCGAACCTCCGAGCGAAGGCTGCGGTAAGCCTCATTCTCTGACGTGGGATTCTGTAGCCGATGACAGTTGGCCTGTCGCTTTTTCTCAACCATCCTGAACACCTCCTCTGTCAGCCAGGGTCTCTGGGGAGGTCTGGACCGCGTACCCAAAGCAGCCATTGCAGCTGCATGAGTCACAGTTCTAAACCTCGCCCATTTACCCTCGACATCAGGAGGAGTGGGGGACGATGCCAACCCCAGCGATGATGAAATTCTCGCTTGCAACTTTCATCAGATAACTGAGACCAGGCCACTTTAGGTTGGAATGGGGTCCTGGGTGTACACCCACCACCGGAGTGGAAGAATGGCAGGCGCATCTTACAGATGACTAGTCAATGGTCAGAGGGCAGATCAGCTCCACGGTAGGTCCTGGTATCAAGGACATGGGCTCGCATCCGCTGGTCCGTCACTATGTAGTCCAGCAGATGTTCTTGCTTGGACCCGGCATGCATCCATGATATTGTGTGGATGCGCCGATGCCGGAACAGCGTGTAGGTAATTACAAGCCCATGGGCTGCACAAAAATCTAGCAGCCTCCTACCGTTGTTATTGAGCTGATCTGACCCAAGTGCACACACACGGGGGCACGCGCACTCAGCACACACACAAAAAACAACAAAGATCCCCCATATAGCCTTAACAGACTGTAGGGGCAAGTGCTGTTAGCGAGCACCTATGAAGGCCGGAACAGTACACGAGGGGGTGGGTGGCCAGCACCACGCCCGACCGCCTTTGTCTTCCTAGTGGCAATGTTTACACACCGCACCAGGTACTCATTTGAGGCTGAGTCGACCTAGGGGAGGCCCGGGACCGGTTCAGATAATCGTCACTGATGTTGGCCGTGAGCGGGAATCGAACCCGGGTCGCCAGGTTCATAGCGCAGCGCGCTAACCGCTACACTATCGCACACACGTGCGCACATACACTCACATGTGTGTGCACACTCACTCCCAGCGGGATTCTGGGACTTAGTACATCTCACCGAACAAAATAGTTCCGTGGTTCGATTGACAAGTTGGATGGTTAAAAAATGATATCTTATGGAGGTTCATTTTTAAGTAAGGATATTTGTAAGTTAGGGACTGTGTATAGCTAACACCTTATTGCGATCACACATACAGCTAATACACACTGTATAGCTAACTCATCATCTATGTAATACACTGTAAAGAACATACACCGTTTAACTAATACACACTACAGCTAATACATCCTATGGCTCATACATAGCATAGTTAATACACTGTATAGCTCATACACAGTGATAGCTAATACACACCGTATGGCTAATGCACACCGTGTGACTAATACACACCGTGTGACTAATACACGCCATGTGACTAATACACGCCGTGTGGCTATACACGCCTTGTGGCTAATACACGCCTTGCGGCTAATACACGCCGTGCGGCTAATACACGCCGTGCGGCTAATACACGCCGTGTGGATAATACACGCCATACAGCGAGGGAAAAAAATATTTGATCCCCTGCTGATTTTGTACGTTTGCCCACTGACAAAGAAATGATCAGTCTATAATTTTAATGGTAGGTTTATTTGAATAGTAAGAGACAGAATAACAACAACAACAATCCGTAAAACGCATGTCAAAAATGTTATAAATTGATTTGCATTTTAATGAGGGAAATAAGTATTTGACCCCTCTGCAAAACATGACTCAGTACTTGGTGGCAAACCCCTTGTTGGCAATCACAGAGGTTAGACGTTTCTTGTAGTTGGCCACCAGGTTTGCACACAATTCAGGAGGGATTTTGTCCCACTCCTCTTTGCAGATCTTCTCCAAGTCATTAAGGGTTCGAGGCTGACGTTTGGCAAATCGAACCTTCAGCTCCCTCCACAGATTTTCTATGGGATTAAGGTCTGGAGACTGGCTAGGCCACTCCAGGACCTTAATGTGCTTCTTCTTGAGCCACTCCTTTGTTGCCTTGGCCGTGTGTTTTGGGTCATTGTCCTGCTGGAATACCCATCCACAACCCATTTTCAATGCCCTGGCTGGTTCTCACCCAAGATTTGACGATACATGGCCCCGTCCATCGTCCCTTTGATGCGGTGAAGTTGTCCTGTCCCCTGAGCAGAAAAACACCCGCAAAGCATAATGTTTCCACCGTCTTTGGTTCTTTCGGTAAAGTCACGTAGAATGAGAATAAAATAATAAATTGATAAAATAAAATAACACAATGATATTCTCACGACGTTTCGGCCACAACACAAGCGGCCTTCATCAGGTGAAGGGACGAGACTGTCTGGTAGCGCTGTCCTACCAGACAGTCTCGTCCCTTCACCTGATGAAGGCCGCTTGTGTTGTGGCCGAAACGTCGCGGACGAGACTGTCTGGTAGCGCTGTCCTACCAGACAGTCTCGTCCCTTCACCTGATGAAGGCCGCTTGTGTTGTGGCCGAAACGTCGTGAGAATATCATTGTGTTATTTTATTTTATCAATTTATTATTTTATTCTCATTCTACGTGACTTTACCGAAAGAACCAAAGAAGATGAATCATTGCAGTCACGAAAGCTTTAAATCGAAACATAATGTTTCCACCTCCATGTTTGACGGTGGGGATGGTGTTCTTGGGATCATAGGCAGCATTCCTCCTCCTCCAAACACGGCGAGTTCAGTTGATGCCAAAGAGCTCCATTTTGGTCTCATCTGACCACAACACTTTCACCCAGATATCCTCTGAATCATTCAGATGTTCATTGGCAAACTTCAGACGGGCATGTATATGTGCTTTCTTGAGCAGGGGGACCTTGCGGGCGCTGCAGGATTTCAGTCCTTCACGGCGTAGTGTGTTACCAATTGTTTTCTTGGTGACTATGGTCCCAGCTGCCTTGAGATCATTGACAAGATCCTCCCGTGTAGTTTTGGGCTGATTCCTCACCGTTCTCATGATCATTGCACCTCCACAAGGTGAGATCTTGCATGGATCCCCAGGCCGAGGGAGATTGACAGTTCTTTTGTGTTTCTTCCATTTGCGAATAATCACACCAACTGTTGTCACCTTCTCACCAAGCTGCTTGGCAATGGTCTTGTAGCCCCTTCCAGCCTTGTGTAGGTCTACATTCTTGTCCCTGACATCCTTGGAGAGCTCTTTGGTCTTGGCCATGGTGGAGAGTTTGGAATCTGATTGATTGATTGCTTCTGTGGACAGGTGTCTTTTATACAGGTAACAAGCTGAGATTAGGAGCACTCCCTTTAAGAGTGTGCTCCTAATCTCAGCTCGTTACCTGTATAAAAGACACCTGGGAGCCAGAAATCTTTCTGATTGAGAGGGGGTCAAATACTTATTTCCCTCATTAAAATGCAAATCAATTTATAACATTTTTGACATGCGTTTTTCTGGATTTTCTTGTTATTATGTCTCTCACTGTTCAAATAAACCTACCATTAAAAGTATAGACTGATCATTTCTTTGTCAGTGGGCAAACGTACAAAATCAGCAGGGGATCAAATACTTTTTTCCCTCACTGTATGGCTAATACACGCCGTATGGCTAATACACGCCATGTGGCTAATACACACCATATGGCTAATACACACCATATGGCTAATACACACCATATGGCTAATACACGCCATGTGGCTAATGCACACCATATGGCTATTACACGCCGTGTGGCTAATACACACCATATGGCTAATACACACCATATGGCTAATACACACCATATGGCTAATACACACCGTGTGGCGAATACGCAACATATGGCTAATACACGCCATATAGCTAATACACACCATATGGCTAATACACGCCGTGTGGCTAATACACGCCGTGTGGCTAATACACACTATATGGCTAATACACACCGTGTGCTTACCGTGTGTCGCGTACCCTATATTCTCTGTCGCTTGCAGACCTCTACTACTTTGTATTTGCACCGACGCTCTGCTACGAGCTCAACTTCCCTCGCACATCGCGTATTCGCAAGCGCTTTCTGCTGCGCAGGATATTTGAGATGGTGAGGGCAGAGCAGCACTGCGCGCGCTCACTCATGGCAGCAGTATAATTCTTGTCATGCATCATTATTATGATTATACTTGTTTACCCAGGAGAGGCGAATGTTTCTTCCTTGTTCATCAGTCTCTATGGGGTCTCTGATCCACGTGTTCCTCGTTTTGTCTTTGGTCTACTTCCCAGCTAGCATCTGTCCGTGCTTCTTTGCACTTTTCAGCTCTTGTTCCGGTGCCTTTATCGGTGTCCGTGTTTCTGATCCATACGTCATAGCTGGGCTCTGGTTGGAAATGTTCTTCTGGGGCATTGATGTTTTGTTCACTACCAATGCTGAAGAATACTGCTGTTGTTTCTAGATTTGAAGTTTTCGTGACTGCAAGGATCCAAACTCTTTGGTTCTTTCGGTAAAGTTACGTAGGTGGGGGAAACAAATAAATAAATAATAGGGTCAAATAAATCACAACGTTTCGATTGCAACACAAGCAATCATCAGGTGTGACAACCACAGAAAGGAAATTTTTACTGAAGTGGGAGAGAGACCAGGGTTAGGGCAGTTAAACAAGTCATAGAGGAGGAGGGTAGGGGGGGGGTGAATGGTGGGAGGAGTGCGTACACTGCAAGTACAACAGAGACGCTGAGAGTAAAAAGGCAACATGATTGTTGCCAAGATAGATGATGACATCTAAAGCAGAATAGCCGCACTGTTAAACGCTAAGGATGCAATTAACTCCGTAAAATAGACTAATACCCGGTAAATAAGATGGAACAACTATGAACAGTTTCATTTTACTTGGTTAATAACATCTTTCCAATGATTGCTCAATTTATATCCGTCCTCTCGGTTGAAGTTGTGTCTATGTTTATATATCTGGATGGCTTCATGAGCAAATTTTTGATGGTAGCCAGACGGCTTGCAGAGGACCTTAGTCTCGGAGAAAACAATATCATGGGAGCCCACAGCATTATAGCAATGATCAGAAACGGCTGAGGAATTAGTTCTGCCGTGTTTCAGATCTGACTTTTGCTCGCGGATCCGGTATTTTTCACATACATGACTTTACCGAAAGAACCAAAGAGTACTGCTGTTCATATTCTTAGTTTTTTCGGTAAAGTCACGTTGAAGAGAAACAACAAAATAACAAAATATATATAAAACAATAAAAAATTCTCACGACGTTTCGACCATAACTCAAACGGTCATCATCAGGTGTGTCGGTTTTTTTTAATTGTTTTATATATATTTTGTTATTTTGTTGTTTCTCTTCAACGTGACTTTACCGAAAAAACTAAGAATATGAATTACTGCAGTCACGAAAGCTTTAAATCAAAATTTAAGTACTGCTGTTTTTAATAAGAATAATAAAGATGGGCGTTAAATGCAGAAAATAAATCATTAACTCACATATGCTGTTTGCACAAATGTATATCCTTTACACATTTGGAGCTAATTATGTGTATGTTCTGATCCACAGCTGTTTCTCATGCAGCTAATGCTGGGATTCATCCAACAGGTATAACCTGTGGTTAACCTGGGTGGTAGTGATAACACTCATGCCTCACTGCAATATGGATACGATACGGAAACACACAGACCTGAATATATTCACATACAGACATGGTGACATGCAGAGACATGGAGAAAAGGAGACACAAATACACAGACCCACAGTTACCTACAAGCACAGACATGGTTATGCTCACACACAGACACAGATACACAAATGCCGAGGCACAGACACAGGGAGACACATAAGCCGAATACATACAGACATGAATACAGTCACAAACACGGAGGTGCATGGAGACATACAGAGATACACGGAGACATAGACATGGAGACACTTAAACAGTTGAGAAAATTATTGTCACTGATTTTGCAGAGCCATTGATTTTCTTGTGTTTAATATGACAGCATGAGCAAGGCATCGTAATTCACTCTCGGCTACAACTCGTACCCAACCACTGACCTGCCCGCCCACCGACTGAGTTTGTGGTTCGGCGTGGCCTCGATGGAGAAGCACTGCCCTAGATCGACTTATGACCTTGTGTTTATTTTTGTAAACAGCTGAACATTTACAAAAATAACAGATTGTATCTTAAGAAAGCAATAAACTAACCCAACTGTAAGGGATGTCAGGGGAGGGATTACCACCAAAAGGAGGGGGAGTGGGACGGTGACAGTGGAAGGGGGAGGAACAGGTGAGGAGATATAAGAGAGAGAACGGGCGGGAAAAGGGGAGAACCGGATCAAGAAGGCTGGGGACGAGTGTATACTGGGGGGAGCAATAAGCCGAACGCCCTGCAACCTTGTGTCGGCTCTCCTTTACACAAGCATGCATTAAATCTAACGATCCAGGCTGAGCAGTGGCAAGCCCGGCCCAACGCCGGGTCTGGTCTCTAATAAGAATGGATGTGCATGATGAGCCTCCTTCCCTTGCCCTACCCTCCATGTAAAGTCCCTCACCGCCACTGCCCTTGCCCCCCACACAGCACCGTCGTCCCATATAAACACGAGAACGTGCTTGCAATAGCGGCAGACACATATGCCCACGCGTACAAAGCGATCACAATATAGATGACCCCATGCAAATTACAGAAATATCTCTGTGATGTTTAAGTGTTTTTCCGTGTGCTCTAAAGTCGTCATTTAACCTGACCTATTCTCTCCCTCCTCGTGTCTTCTGTCACCCCTTTGACCCAGTGGATCGTTCCGAGTATTCGCAACTCGATGAAGCCACTCATTGTAAGTATTCCCTTGCAGGGCTACACACAGCGCTCTGTACATTAGTCTGGGCTGCATCTTAATACTGTGGGTGAATTAATTGTAAACATTCTACGACGTGCCGTCTGCTTCACAGTGGACATTCAAGGTCCCCTGACGTCATTCTAAATGAGGAAGCAGTTGCGTACGAGCGTATTGGCCCATTTTCATCAATTTGTAAAATTACTCAATTGGGATGGCACATAGCAATCATTACCCTCTACTCGCAGCAGGCTTGTAGCCCAGGTGCTGAGTCCTCTTATGCCTCACAGGGATAGCTGCCACCGGCAGTGCCCTTGCAAATGTTTTGAGATGAGATGCAGTGCTGGTTGTTCATCACACGTGAAAAGCCCCAAAATGCCAAGCACAGAGGAAGGCTGCATTACAAACAGCTCCCGATGGTTCTTTTCACTGCAGCACCTTTGGAGCCTCACCCAATCAGCACTATGATGATGACGACAACTATGATTGTTCTCTGCAGGAGATGGACGTGTCACGTGTAGTGGAACGCCTGCTTAAACTTGCCGTAAGTTCTTTATCACTTCCGTCTCGAGTATTTTTTTAGGACCACTGAAAGCACTACATATTCGACACGCATGTTTTGGCCACCAATTTGATTCATTAGGCCCTGTAATGTTCTTCAGCTCACCGGTGAGATAAAACAATAGCGACTGGCATGGTAATTGCACGTAATTTATTTGGCTGTGTCAGGTCGTGGCGGGCTCTAAATAACACAGATTTGGTGAGACCATGATGTGGCCTCAACCAAAAATGTAATTTTGAATACATAAATATGACCTGTTTATCATATTCTGGGCTTGGAAATTAATGCAAACCGACACACCTGATGACGACCGTTTGTGTTATGGTCGAAACGTCGTGAGAATTTTTATTGTTTTATATATTTTATTATTTTATTGTTTCCCTTCAACGTGACTTTACCGAAAGAGCTAAGAATATGAATTTGGATTATTTTGTTGACAAGTTAGATACATTTTACTGAATAATACCATAGAGTAGTGTCTTAGGAAATTACATTTTTATCGTTTGCAACTTAATTTAATAATCATATTAGTACATTTGCATTATTCACACGAGTAGATTTGCAAATGAATAGCAAAACTACTACAGTCACAATCAGTAAATGATATAGTGCATTTTATATTTTGAAAAGTTCTCTGTAGTCATCAGTCACCCTTGCAGAGTAGAATTTCAAACTTGCGCACACTCAGCCAGATAAAGAAGGTCGTTAATCGTGGTTAATCAGATGACCTGCATCTGCCAGGTTTTGTGACGTTTTCTTCCACCTCGTTAACTGCTGACCCCCACCAGGTCCCAAACCACCTCATCTGGCTCATCTTCTTCTACTGGTTCTTCCACTCCTGCTTGAACTTGCTGGCGGAGATCATGAAGTTTGGCGACCGAGAGTTTTACCGCGATTGGTGGTGATGAACGCCTTTTTTCTGAAATGTCCTCTAAAAAAACTTTCCTCTTCAACCGTTTGAGGAGGGTGGCATTTACAAGATGGGGGTCTTTTGTGTCTGTGCATTTGTGCTACGATGGTTAAACCGGATTTGTTGCAATACTAGTAACCAAATGAAAACAAATTGTGACAACCCGGTTAATATCGGTTTTCCACACATATCAATGTCTATAGACATACAATTAACAGGTTTATCTCTAACTGAAAAACGAAGGTAAATGTACTAATTGTGACTTGGGCCTGTGTTGAGCGGTTTGGATGTGAGTGCCTGCCATTCGTGCATTCATTACTGACATTCCATTGGAAATGATGATCGTTTATTTATTTTACAATAGGTAATAGTGCAAGATTATATGGTTAACACAACCACAGCAATTACGAGGGTGGCCTGCTGGGTTAATTCTCGTACCTCTGCAACAAACGGCCAACGCGCTTCCACAATGATAATTTATATAGCGCTTTTCATGAAGGATCTCAAAGCACTGTACAGGACACAAGAGCAGCAGTCGGCTTGAAAATAATATACATTTTAAAACTCATTTACTAAAATAACTACAAATTTAATAAGTGGAAGCGTGAGCCTAAAAATTGCTGTGACATTGAGTCGGGCAACCTCACTGGAACGTGCGTGCGAGTTCTGCAGGAATGCGCAGACTGTCACCTACTTCTGGGCCAACTGGAACATCCCGGTGCACAAGTGGTGTGTCCGGTACGTTGGCTCCCCGAATCGCCTGTCAGGGAATTGAGCATTGCTTTAATTATATCCTTAGGGGAACCCCCCAATATTGTTATTACTTGATTGTTTGTTTAGGCCACGTAAATATCTACTCAAATCTTTGTATTGTTAAAACCCTCCACCACCCAACACAGACAAATACATTGCACGTGGTGTACAATCGTTATTGATTCGGCTCGCTCATTGTTGAGCTGAAGAACACATCTGGTTGTGAGGATTGCTCAACTTGCTGGTGAGCGGAAACAGTGATTTGCATGCGTTAAACACTTGCACAACACGTGATGATTTGTTTAGCCATGTGGAGCGGTGGAGGGTTCTTAACGACACAGATGTGGTCAGATGATGGTGGCCTCACCTGTGAAATCAGTTATGACGCAGTGTTGAATAACGTTTGAACACACGCGTGGTCGTGCTCATGTGTGTCCACATTGAATGTCACGCAGACACTTCTACAAGCCACTGCTCAAGAGGGGCTTTAACAAGATGCACGCGCAGCTGGGCGTCTTCCTCCTCTCCGCTTTCTTCCACGAGGTTCGTCTGCTCTCCAGTAACGCCACTGGACAAGTTCAGTGACATTTTTGACACAGCTTTCTGTATACAGTGGTCCCTCGTTTATCGCGGGGGATACGTTCTAAAAATAACCCGCAATAGACGAAATCCGCGAAGTAATCAGCTTTATTTTTTACAATTATTAAACATGTTTTAAGGCCGTAAAACCCCTAACCACACACTTTGATACACTTTTCTCAGACAGGCATTAACATTTTCTCACATTTCTCTCTTATTTAAACACTCTCAAAGTTCAAATAAGTACAATATTAGTAAATGAAACCAAAGATCAAAACCTGTTTTCAAGCCCAAACATTTTTGTAAATCTGGCTAGCCGAACGCATTCTGTACTCCCTTAGCTAATCAGAACGCAGAACACATGTGCGGTTCTCCCTTAGCCAATCAGGACGCCGAACACAATGCACGTTCATACTGTACGCAGGAAAAAAAAGCATGCAAAATTACACTAAAAAAAATCCGCGAAACAGCGAGGCCGCGAAAGGTGAACCGCGTTATAGTGAGGGACAACTATAAATGTATGCCTACCATTAGGGGTGAATTATAAACATTTATTTAAAACATTTTAACCAGCAAAGCCTCATTGAGTTTCAAGCCTTTTCAGGGGGGTCCTACCAAATCTTTCCAGTAGGGGGCGATGTTGCTGCAGTGTGTGATCTTAATTGAGTAATTTTCAAGTAATTTCTCAGCATCGGGATATTGGTGCAGTACCAGTTAGATTTCTCACCATTGGAGGAAACCGGAGAACCAGCCGGAAACTCATACAGAACAGGGGAAGAGGATACAAACTCCACGCAGAAACACGCTAGAGCCAAAATCGAGCCCAGGAACTTCCTGCTGCAAGGCACAAATGTTCTCTAAACATCCCTTTTACATTTCGATTTAAAAGCTTTCGTGACTGCAGGGATTTATATTCTTGGTTATTTCGGTAAAGTCACGTAGAAGGGAAACAATAAAATAAAAATATAAAACAATAAAATTCTCATGACGTTTCGACTGCAACACAAGCAATCATCATCAGGTGTGAAAACAACAGCAAGAAAATTTGAAGAAAGTGGCGGTTTGTATTTATTTATTTGTAACGTTAGCACCACGGAGAGCGATTTGACAGTTTGTTCAGATGGACGAGTCCATCTATGTTCGGAAAAGAGGAGGGGGGAGACGAAAATAATGGATGCGGTCTGAAAGCCACCGTAAGCGTGAACAATCAATTAAGACCCGAAATGGTTTAACAAATCCTTCCAATGATTGCTAAGCCAGAATCCATCTTCTCGGTTGAAATTGTCTCTGTGTTTGTATATGTGGATAGCCTCATGAACGAATCTCTCATGGTAGCCAGATGGCTTTCAAAGAACCTCTGTCTTGTAGAAGTCAATGTCATGTGAGCCTACTGAATAATAACAGTGATCTGCCACGGCCGAGGTGTTGGTCCTACCGTGTTTTAGGTCTGCTTTGTGTTCACGAATGCGGTCCGAGACATGTCGTTTGGTTTCTCCAATGTAACTACTACCACAGAGGCAATGTAGTTTGTAGACAGATGGAACCAGATCACGGATTTTATGTAATGTGTTGAATCGGACCTGGATCTTGTGTTTATTCAAGATTTTGGAGATTTTTTTTGTGATCGCCGCAATGTAGGGTAAAGTGATGGTTTTGAAAGGCTCTTCAAGAGGGTCCTTCTTCATGGTTGGAGTGATAGCTTTGTGGATTGTGTAGTCGGAGTAACCATTAGCCTTATGAGCTTGGTGTACGTGCTTGAGTTCACTGGCTATGTGTTCCTGGTCGGATATGCATTGGGCTCTTTGGTGCAGAGTTTTGATGAGGGAATTCTTCTGGGATGGATGGTGGTGGGAATCCGGTTTCAGGTAAGCATCCGTATGGGTAGCTTTCCTGTAGACAGAGTGGCCCATTGAACCATCAGGTCTCTTTTTTATTAGGACATCCAAAAAAGGTAGCTTGCCATCTTTTTCGACTTCCATGGTAAATCTGATGGCTGAGTGTATGGAATTGATGTGGTCGAAGAATTGGTCTAGAGCAGGCCGGCCATGTGGCCAGATGACAAAAGTGTCATCCACGTACCTCTTCCATAAGGTTGGGCGTAGAGTGGCAGTCTGGATGGCGTGAGTCTCAAATTTCTCCATGAAAATGTTGGCTATAACCGAAGATAGTGGGAGCCCATTGGGGTGCCGTCAGTTTGTTTGCAGAAAGTTACATTCCAAGTGAAGTATGTATTGGTTAAGCAGTGTCTCACCAGGGGGGGTACCTCAGTGTTTAGTCCTTGATGAACCAAGTCTTCAATGATTGCGATGGTGGCAGGTACAGGAACTTTGGTGAATAAGGAAACTACATCAGAACTGAGAAGCAGGTCGTCTGGGGACAGGGAAATACCCTTGATTGTCGATACCAGGTGAGTAGAATTTTGTACCGCAGAGGTGGTTTTTCCAGTGAAAGGCCGCAGGATTTCAGACAGAAAACGAGCCAGTTCGTAGGTGGGGGAGTTGATAGTAGAGATGATGGGACGAAGGGGTGTATATACTTTATGTGTTTTTGGTAAACCGTATAATCTTGGTGGCCTGGCAGCAGAAGGTTTCAACGAAAACTGTTTGGTTTTTTCAATTAATGTGGTTGAATCAGAAATTATTTTGTTGGTTTGTATGACGAGGCTGTTGGTGGGATCTCTTTTTATTTTTGCTGCAACCCTCAAATACGCTAAGATGCCAGCTAGCAACCTCGGCAACGATGGGCGTTTTGAATTATATAAATTAAAAAAGAGGGATGATATTGTCATCCTCTCAGCCGACAAGGGCAATGCCACTGTCATCATGGATAAAATAGAATATAACAACAAAATTCAATAATTACTCAACGATGGCAGCTATACAAAAATAAAAAGAGATCCCACCAACAGCCTCGTCATACAAACCAACAAAATCATTTCTGATTCACCAAAGTTCCTGTACCTGATACCATCGCAATCATTGAAGACTTGGTTCATCAAGGACTAAACCAGGGGTCTCAAACTCACGGCCCGCGGGGCAATTGCGGCCCACAGAACGATATTTTGTGGCCCCCTACTTGACATCATTATTTATTTATTTATTAATTATTATTATTTTTTTACCATAGCTCAGGCTCGTGACAGCTTCCGGTGTTTGTTGACAAGTTAGCCAAAGCGAATTAGCAACGTTAGTCACTTGGTTGAAACGTGATTCCGGAGTGACACCAAGTGGAAGGAAAATATATCCTGTCACCCTGTGCAAGGTACAAAGGGCTTAGGAAGTGGGCGGACTCAACAAGAGTAATCAGTGACCTAATAAAGACAACAGAGTGTTGCAATAGGAAAGGGAAAATAATTACATGGATAGCAAATAGCATGAGATGGGTGGCAAGAATAAAAGCCAAATGGTGGTTAGAACCTGAATATTATAAAGAAGAAGTTATAGATTATTATTACAAGAGAAACAAAGACAAGGAAAAGGGACAGATATGTGCAATCGCAAAAGAAAACGAATTTACCAAGAACAATTTAATAAAAAAGAGCCAGAAATTAAAAGATATAAAACATGAGACAATGCACTTGATGTTAAGAATTAAGAGAGGTGGAGTAACATGGACACCAGAGTTAACTCAATGGCATCCAGAGAGATTTAGTAGAGCAGAAGGATATGTAGGAGAGAGAGGACCGGGTCGCCAATCTTAAAACATGTCTACTGAGGCAACAAGATTTTTTCAAGAAAGCAAGCAAAGAGAGTGATGCAGCAGTTGAAGCTAGCTACGTGGTGAATGAGATGATTGCTAAGGCGGGAAAGCCATTCAAAGACGGCGAGTTCATCAAAAAGTGCATGTTACAGGCTGCAAGTATAGTCTGTCTGAAAAAGAAGGGTCAGTTTAGCAACATCAGCCTTTCAGCCAACACAGTGGCAGAGCGCATTTCTGACCTGTCAGGTAACATATACGATCAACTGCGTGAGAAAGACAAACATTTCCGTGCATACTCAGTCGCTCTTGATGAGAGCACAGACATCACTGACACTGCGCAGCTCGCAATGTATGTCCAATTTTGAAGTGACGGAGGAGTTGCTCACAGTGAATCCAATGCATGGCCAGACCACCGCTCAGGAGATATTCCGCCAGCTGTGTGATGCCATTGTGGATGCCGGTTTACCATGGAAGAGGTTTGCTGGCATAACAACCGACGGAGCACCATCAATGACAGGGAGGAGAAATAGACTGGTGGCACTTGTTCAAAGAAAACTGGAAGAGGGTGTGGAGGAGGCCATTGCTCTGCACTGCATTATCCATCAGCAGGCCCTTTGCAGAAAATGCCTGAAGTTTGACAATGTGATGTCTGTCGTTGTGAAATGCATCAACCATATCAGATCCAGGGGCTTAAAGCACCGGCAGTTCCGCGCCTTTTAGAGGAAAATAGAGTCAGCATATGAGGATGTGCTCTACTTCACCGAGGTACGTTGGCTCAGCAGGGGAAGCGTCTTGAAGAGGTTTTTTGAGTTGAGAGCAGAAGTGAAAGCCTTCATGGAGAAGGATGGGATGGCTGTTCCTGTGCTAAGTGATCCCAAATGGCTCATGGACTTAGCTTTTCTTGTTGACATCACACAGGAGCTGAATGTACTGAACAAGAAGTTACAAGGCTAGGGGCAGCTTGTCAGTGCTACCTATGACAAAGTCAGAGCATTCTCCACAAAACTTGTATTATGGAAAGCCCAGCTCTCTCAGACAAACCTCTGCCATTTCCCAGCATGCAAGGCACTCATGGATCCGGGCACACCATTCAGTGGTGAGAAGTATGCTGATGCCATTGTAAAGCTACAGGAGGAATTTGATCACAGTTTTGCAGACTTCAAGACACACAGAGCCACTTTTCACATTTTTGCTGACCCCTTCTCCTTCGATGTGCAAGATGCCCCTCCTGTGCTTCAAATGGAGCTAATTGACCTGCAGTGCAATTCTGAACTCAAAGCCAAGTTCAGGGAGGTGTGTGCAAAAGCAGACAAGCTTGGACAATTTTTTAGATAATTGCCCCCCACCTTCCCTGAGCTTTCCAGGATGTTCAGATGGACCATGTGCCTTTTTGGGAGCACATATCTGTGTGAAAAGCTCTTCTGCACCATGAACTTTAATAAGTCAAAGTACAGGTCCAAACTTACTGATGAGCATCTTCAAGCCATACTGAGGGTCTCAATTGCTTCTTCCCTCAAGCCAAATGTGGCTCAGCTGTGTAAGAAGAGGAAGCGCTGCCAAGTCTCTGGCAGCAAGGAGTAGGTAAGAGAAGCCTATGTTCTGAAGAACCGTTCATGTTCTGAACTGTTATTAATAAAGATTGAGCAGATTGGATCAGTTGTACTTTTTTTTGGAATATTTGATGCGGCCCAGCCTCACCCAGACTCTTGCTCCAGCGGCCCCCAGGTAAGTTGAGTTTGAGACCCCTGGACTAAAAACTGAGGTACCCCCCCTGGTGAGACACTGCTTAACCAATACATACTTCACTTGGAATGGAACTTTCTACAAACAAACTCAGGGCACCCCAATGGGCTCCCCCCTATCTCCGGTTGTAGCCAACATTTTCATGGAGAAATTTGAGACTGACGCCACCAGACTGCCACTCTACGCCCAACCTTATGGAAGAGGTATGTGGATGACACTTTTGTCATCTGGCCACATGGCTGGCCTGCTCTAGACCAATTCTACGACCACATCAATTCCATACACCCAGCCATCAGATTTACCACGGAAATCGAAAAAGATGGCAAGCTACCTTTTTTGGATGTCCTAATAAAAAAGAGACCTGATGGTTCAATGAGTCACTCTGTCTACAGGAAAGCTACCCATACGGATGCTTACCTGAAACTGGATTCCCACCACCATCTATCCCAGAAGAATTCCGTCATCAAGACTCTGCACCATAGAGCCCAATGCATATCCGACCAGGAACACATAGACAGTGAACTCAAGCACGTACACCAAGCTCTTAAGGCTAATGGTTACTCCGACTACACAATCCGCAAAGCTATCACTCCAACCATGAAGAAGGACCCTCTTTAGGAGCCTTTCAAAACCATCACTTTACCCTACATTGCGGCGATCACAAAAAAGATCTCCAAAATCTTGAAGAAACACAAGATCCAGGTCCGATTCAACACATTACATAAAATCCGTGATCTGGTTCCGTCTGTAAAAGATGTGATTCCGGACATACAGTACCCTGGCGTCTACAAACTAAGTTGCCTCTGTGGTAGTCGTTACATTGGAGAAACCAAACGACATGTCTCGGACCGCATTCGTGAACACAAAGCAGACCTAAAACACGGTAGGACCAACACCTCGGCCGTGGCAGATCACTGTTATTATTCAGTAGGCTCACATGACATTGACTTCTCCAAGACAGAGGTTCTTTGCACGCCATCTGGCTACCATGAGAGATTCGTTCATGAGGCTATCCACATATACATATACAAACACAGAGACAATTTCAACCGAGAAGATGGATTCTGGCTTAGCAATCATTGGAAGGATTTGTTAAACCATTTCGGGTCTTAATTGATTGTTCACGCTTGCGGTGGCTTTCAGACCGCATCCATTATTTTCGTCTCCCCCCTCCTCTTTTCCGAACATAGATGGACTCGTCCATCTGAACAAACTGTCAAATCACTCTCCGTGGTGCTAACGTTAAAAATAACCGCCACTTTTTTCAAATTTTCTTGTTGTGGTTTTCACACCTGATGATGATTGCTTGTGTTGCAGTCGAAACGTCGTGAGAATTTTATTGTTTAATATTTTTATTATTTTATTGTTTCCCTTCTACGTGACTTTACCAAAAGAACCAAGAATATGAATCCCTTTTACACTTCACTATTTAGCTGTGGGCTCGGATGGGAGTGCAGTGTGTGTTCTCTCCGATTCCAGTACCTGGTGAGCGTGCCGCTGAGAATGTTCCGGATCTGGGCATTCATGGGCATGATGGCACAGGTGGGGTCATCGCAAGGACATGCACATTACAAGGATTGTGAAAAAGATGAGAATTGTGTGTGTGTGGTGATTGCTGACGTGTTGATTTGTGGTGTGTGTGGTTGATTGGTGGTTTGTGTGGGGTGTACGGTGGATTGGTGATGAGAGGTTGATTGTCGCCGTGTGGTTGCAGGTCCCCTTGGCATGGTTTGTCGGCAGCTTTCTGAGCGGTAACTACGGAAACTCAGCCGTGTGGCTGAGCCTGATCCTCGGGCAGCCGGTGGCGGTGTTTATGTACGTGCACGACTACTACGTGCTCAACTTCAGGGATGCCGCGCAGTGAGGCACCCCTTCTTCGCCATCCCAGCGCCTCCTGGCTCTGCACGGCCTCAACATTTTGCCATCTCGGATGCCGACCGTGTGGCCAATCAGGCGGCATGTACCACTGAGCCGGGCTTCGTGCTTCTCCAGGCCGTGAGGAAAGTTTCTGCGGAGCGGGTGCCGAGGGCCCTGTGACGTTGCAATACACTTCTAGCTGTGTCATCGCGCGTTTGGGAATTCGCCATTGTAGGGGCAGTGGTGATTGGGTGAGTTACCCCAATTGGAATAGGTACCGATTAAGTAATTGAGATAGTGATTTGTTTCGTTCTCCGTCCTCTATCACCAAAACCAATAGCCGTGCAACGATGCCAATTAACCGGTCCACGAGTACTAATGAATGGCCTCCTCATTTGGGTTAATGGTATCATGGGTCTGACTTATTGTTATATAGAACAAAGATAATTACAATAGACTTGCTAATGGTGAACTTTTTATTTAATTGTGAAAGAGACTAAAATCTGGAACTAACGTGACTGAATGTGAAGGTGTAATTGATTCTAGATTTGAAGCTTTCATGACTGCAAGGATCCATACTCTTTGGTTCTATTCGGTAAAGTCACGTAGGTAAAAAATAAAACAACAAAAATCACGACGTTTTGGCCACAACACAAGCAGCCTTCATCAGGTGAAGGGACAAGACTGTCTCGAGGACAGCGCTGGAGTGAAACACAGCCAAGCTCAGACCGTGACCTTTAAGCTGTGTGAGAGCAATTAAGGTGCCTTGACAAAGGAATTAGCATAAAAAATATGCCTTTAATAGGCGGACTTAGCATGATGAAAGGTAGGGAGGGGGTCGACCTGTGCAGGCTGGCGAGGGGGCAAGGTAGCGTCCACATGCTGGTGGTGTGAAAATGGGATTTTAAGAAGTTGCGAAAGTTTGGGGTACCACTACTTGAAAAATATACTGTACCATTGAAAATTAGTTTAATGTTTGGTTCGATTTAGAACATCTTTCCAATAGTTGCTTAATATGAAACCATCTTCTCGGTTGAAATTGTGTCTGTGTTTGTAGATCTGAATTGCCTCGTGAACAAATCTCTGATGAAAACCCGTGGGTTTGCAAAGAACCTTGGTATCGGGGAAAATTATATCGTGATCACCCACAGCGTTGTAACAGTGATCAGCTATGGCAGAAGAATTCGTTCTGCCGTGTTTCAAATCTGATTTGTGCTCGCGAATTCGGTCAGAGACATGTCGCTTCGTCTCCCCGATATAGCAATCACCGCAGGTACAACTTAATTTGTAAACTAAACTAAATCGTTTACAAATTGAGTTGTACCTGCGGTGATTGCTATATCGGGGAGACAAAGCGACATGTCTCTGACCGAATTCGCGAGCACAAATCAGATTTGAAACACGGCAGAACGAATTCTTCTGCCGTAGCTGATTACTGTTACAACGCTGTGGGTGATCACGATATAATTTTCCCCGATACCAAGGTTCTTTGCAAACCCACGGGTTTTCATCAGAGATTTGTTCACGAGGCAATTCAGATCTACAAACACAGACACAATTTCAACCGAGAAGATGGTTTAAAATTAAGCAACCATTGGAAAGATGTTCTAAATCGAACCAAACATTAAACTAATTTTCAATGGTACAGTATATTTTTCAAGTAGTGGTACCCCAAACTTTTGCAGCTTCTTAAAATCCCCTTTTCACACCACCAGCATGTGGACGCTACCTTGCCCCCTCGCCAGCCTGCACAGGTCGACCCCCTCCCTACCTTTCATCATGCTAAGTCCCCCTATTAAATGCAAATTTTTTATGCTAATTCCTTTGTCAAGGCACCTTAATTACTCTCACACAGCTTAAAGGTCGCGGTCTGAGCTTGGCTGTGTTTCACTCCAGCGCTGTCCTCGAGACAGTCTGGTCCCTTCACCTGATGAAGGCCGCTTGTGTTGTGGCTGAAACGTCGTGGTTTTTGTTGTTTTATTTTTTACCTACGTGACTTTACCGAATAGAACCAAAGAGTAAGGTGTAATTGCTTGTGAATTGTAGACAGATGTATTAGTGGCATTTTATTCCGTTTTAAACATCATACACTGGTATTGGCTTCTGTTATCGATGTCCTGAGGACCACCAAAAATGTAATTGCATATTCTTCGTTTTTTGCATGGATATTCTGACGTGGTTATGGTTTTATTTTATAGGCCACAGGCTCATTCATTTTCACATATTCACTCGAATGCTTGTAAGCATTGATTTTCTTTGCATTTGTTAATTTAACACCGATTAGCTTAATGGTTCCTGTTATAAAATAATGGCAGTGATGTTACTGTGTGTAATCCAAATGGAACAATTTGTAGGCAATTTTTCAACATTGGGATGTTTAGCTATGGGAGGAAACGGGAGTACACAAACCGCCAGTCAGAAATTGTATCGAGGCCCTTCAGTGGTTGATGCATGGCCTTTATATCAATGACACCAGAGATTTCCTCTTGGTTTAAATAGGGGTATACCTTTTGAGGGACGTTATTGGCCAGATGATGCAGTATAATTTAATCTCATTTTGCTTGCCATGTGCCATCAAAAAGAGTTAAATGAGATTCTAGTCCAAAATTATGCTGGTCTAGGATAGATTGATAACCTTCATGCTGTTAACATAACACGATGTCTGGGGTATGTAATATTCTTATTTACCCAGGAAAGCTACACTAAGTCCAAATACTATTTTACAGGAGGGTCTACTACATTGATTGCAATATTCAGCACATTGTGTGTTGTCTTTAGCTATGGGAAGAAACGAGAACCTGGAGTAAACTCATGTAGAAAATGGGTACAGAATACAAAACACACACACAGCAAGGCACCTGAGCTGGGAATTGGACCCAGTTCATTTATGCTATTAGGCGTGAGTGTTACCACTGTGCCACCCTGCCTGATGTGCAATGTGAGTTGGCATCACACAAAATAAGCCACACCACATTTTATGTCTGTGGATTTATTGAATTCCACCAGAGGCCTTTCTAAGGTGTATTTGTGCGGCTTAACATTGGTAATTTCTATGACATCATAATGCATGTAACCCTGTAGAAGACACCGTTTAACTTCACGTGCACACCATGCGTCATCGCTCTCATTCCATGTTACCCCCCCTCCTCAAGTGCTACAACCCCAATTGATCATTACATTTCAAAGCAAAAAAAAACCCATGCAGTGTTACTGGCATTGGCCAAAACACTCCAGCTCTGACAGCACCAGCAAACTACTGAACACCACCCCCTACTGTGCAAAAACTTGGCAGGACCCTCCTGAAAAAGTCGTGAGACTTGGTGACTTAGGTTTTCCTGGGTAAACAAGCATAGTCGTCCTCTTAATAATCCCCACGTTCACAGTGTAATCGCATGAGTTAACTGAAGGCAGACTGGACGACAGTCCACAAGCATTTGGTCAAGCAGATAAGCATCTGTTTCTTAATTCTTAGTTGAGTGATTATTTAAACGCCTACTCTCAGCAGCTCTACGATCTCAATCCCATAAACAATGCTTGTCACATTCTACAAATGGCCACGATGATTACGGAATGTATCTCACAATGAAGTTGGATCCGCCAGCAGCAAGCATTCGACTGTGGCAAGCATGACAGTTTCTCGAACGTTTTTAATTGAGGCAAGTTTTGCATCTCATCTGTGTCCCAGATGTGGCGCTGTGTTTGATACAAAGCCTGTGCCAAATGGCATCACCAACCGCGTGCGACTCGCTAAGACGCGTATGGAATGAAATGCAGTGAAAGTGGCGATTTCCAAACTTGCTGCACCACGGTTTGCCATTGAAGTTGCTGTTTTGATATGGACACTGTTTGGAACGTGCCACCATGAGGTCGAAAGGGCCTATGAGTGGACAGTAAATGTCATTGCTTGAGATCTTTTAGCCATTAGAGTTTGGTTTAGCGTCTCACCCTGTAACGTGGGAAAGGGATTTATTGATGTGGTAGCAGTGGAACCAATTTAATACGGGGCTCCACTATTAATGACTCGCTGAGATGTTGGTGATGGTAAACTATTTTAACGGAATTATGGAATTGTACTGTAAGGGACTTTCATGTGTGCAGACGTTGCAATGTTTTACGAATGTGATGAACGCTGCTGAATTTATTTGTGTAATTGTATTTGTTTGCAACAGGAAATAGCACCAGGAATGCGGCCCTTGTTAGTTAATTATTCATGTCTTCATTTGACTTAGAATTGCTTTGTAGGGGTGAATATGCATGTGAGATTAGTGCAGCGTTAGGGCCGCATTCACAGTCACGGCTCGGATCTGGCTCGGCCTCAGATGCGGTCTCGGCTCAGGATGGAGCTGCTTCGTTGCTTCCAAAGATGCATGAGTAGCTCAGCCGTGGCTTGACTCAGGCTCAGCTCATGGAAATCCTGAGCGTGGCTGGGACCATGCTCAGAGCTGGATCAGGTTGAGCACGGTGGCTTTGATCCGGCTCAGTTGAACCAGAGTGGACCTTGAGCTGTTACTAAGAATACAGGCCTAAGAGTGGATGGTGAATGTGATTGCTTGAGATGTTTGGCCACCTAACCTGTGTGGACCAATAATATAGTTAAATCTGCATTTCTCGTATTTACTAAGATCTTTTGTTTATTGGATTGATGTTTCTCTGAAGTATATTAATTTTGAGGAGGTTCAAGACATGGCATGGACCCTAATTAATGTGTTGGCGGAAAGGCAGTTTGCACTGATAGTTTGTAGCAAAACCCAAATCAATGTCCACTTCCACTGGTTTTGTCATTTTTCTGTCAAGTCTGATCAATATGCTATTCTGCCACCGTGTGCATCAGCCCATGAATGCCTCACATTGTAACGGCACATTGACAAAAACCCAGTGTTGTGGCTTTGAATGCACTGTTCAGTCTGGAGAGACGATAGGGTATGGTTACAAACTCTTGGTGCTCTAACCATGCATCTGCTATAGGAAATATAAATATTGTTAGTTTATTCTGCTTGTTTTACCTAGGCAACCTCAAAACTTTTTTTCAGAAGGGCCCTCTAGTTTTTTTGCAGTAACGGTCAATGTTGTGCCTGTGTAACCACAATTGAGTAATTTGGAGGAATATTTTTAGCATTGGGATGTTTGGCCAGTACCAGTTACATTGCATGCATTTAGCTATGGGAAGAAAGTGGAGAATTCGGAGTAAACCAATGCTAAACAGGGGGAGAACATACAAACTCCACACAGCAAAGAGTCGGCAATTGAACCCAGGTACCTCTTGCTGTGAGGCTAGAGTATTACCGCTGCGCAACCCTGCCACATTAAACTTCCCAAATTTGTTGTAAAAAAAAAAGTGAATCATTAAAATCATATGGATTGCCCGAATACATATTAGCTTAGCCTATCTTAAGCTTTGTTAATAACCATTTTGTTTAAAAATAAATTGTTGGGGCTAGCACAGGGGCCGCCCCGTGGCTCATGAAGCGGGGTGGGCGGTGTTGCCGCCGATCCTGGAAGGGCCCAGGGCCATCCCTGGGCCACCTAGCCCACTTGCCAGTCGACGTGGAAAGGCCACATGGGTTGTAGGTGTCTGTGTGCCCAGATAATTGTAGCTTTACTTTGTGGGTGGCGGGGTGGTGCAGTGGAAACATGGGTTC